GTGTGACTGGCTGAAGCTGTATGTTCGTTTTGCTCCTAACTCTGCTGTATTTGTGCTATTTCAGGTTTCATTTCCAGGGGCCGTGTGGTACTACTCTTCCCGAAGCCCTTGCTCCTCATGAATCTGAAAACGTGTCTTAACGCATCCTGGGGAAAGAAGAAATTGTAGTACATCTGAGTACAAACAGAGGAGAAACAATCATGGGGATGGTGAGCTACATGTTAGAAAAATCTAGAAATCACCTCCGATTCCCTGGCTGGAATCCCAGCTGATGATAAGTGATGGGGGTTTAGAGGGAACAGTCGCATACGTGGTTAGAAGGAGAAGTCTGTGACCAGCGCAGTTAATGCATGTTATTTTGTGTGGACGTAACACACAGGGTATCTCTCGTGTTTGGTCGGTTATCAGAAGGGGAAAATATTGTGATTATATTATCTTTTAAAGAAGTAATCGTGCTGATTGTATTGTTGCTGTCTCGGCAAAGATAGAAGTAGAGGGGTAAAATGTTGGAATTTCTGATTTTTGTCAAGTTTTGGTGGAAAATAAAATCACTCTCTGTAGTAGGTGATTTCTTGTATGAAGATGTTGCCCCAATGGACATCTTTGTGGGCGTTTCCTTTTTGGTGTTTTCCTTGTTTGGCTGTCTTACCTCACAGTGTGTGGGATGACCCTACAACAGAAGTCACGTGAGGAAGGAAGAGAAAAGTAGCATCGAGATAGAAAATCATGGGCGCCTGGGTGGCTCAGTCAGTTAAGCAACCGACTTCAGCTCAGGTCATGATCTCACGGTTCATGAGTTCGAGCCCTGCGTCGGGCTCTGTGCTGACCGCTCAGAGCCTGGAGCCTGCTTCAGATTCTGTGTCTCCCTCTCTCTCTGCCCCTCCCTTGCTCGTGCTCTGTCTCTCAAAAAAAAAATCATAAAAATAACGTTTAAAAAATCTTTTTAAAAAGATAAAAAATCAGGATGAAAACATAATTGATGCAAATATGCGGATTCCAAGGTAAACACAGCTTCCTAAAATTGAGCCCCGGCCTTCTTAGCAGCCAAGGAGGAGAGGGCGAAGGGGTCGCTGACTAGTTTTCAGTATCATAAACACAGAAGCGTACAGTCTGTGTATGGGAAGGCCCACCAAACTCTCCCAGACACTGAATTCTGAAGAGTTTTTTCCCCCCTGTGGACTTTAAAAAATTATGCCCATACTGATTTGGAGTAAAGTAGTAAAACACAGCTCTCTGCTCAAGCCTCACTGTCTAATGCCGCATCCAGGGCCCTGGGAATGCCTGCCGAATGGCCTGACCGGGAACAGTGGTCTTCAATAAACAGTGGAGGGAGGTCATCCCTGCCTCGGTCCCTTGGGTGAGGGGAGTCCCCTGGGTGATCACACACTCGGGCCACATTGCCTCAGCCCCTTACAAAACCGCATCTAACGTTACAGCCTCGGCTTTTGTAGAAATAGACAAGACACAGTCACAGAAAACTTTGTACTGCATCTGCAAGTCATAACTTTTCATAAATCCCTGGAGTTCTTTGCGTGGGCAAGAGGGGTGTTCATAACCTACAAGGGGGCTGAGAAGCCAGCCAAGCATCTTGAGGGCTCGATTCCCACTTTTCATGAGTGGCTCAAGGCGTACACAGAGGGGACCTCCTCTAATGCAGTTTTTCTAGGTGAAATACCATGATTCACTTTTAATCGTTTTGTTGTTGGGCTTCTCAAAGTTAAATTCATACATTTGCCTAGTGTTAGCAATGTCAGAAGTCCACATACTGTCTCAACAAGTCTGATTATATATATTTTTCCAAGTTTATTTTTATTTATTGAGAGAGAGAGAGCGCACACATATGTGAGTCGGGGAGGGACAGCGTGGGGGAATCCCAAGTAGGCTCCATGCCACCACTGCATAACCTAATGCGGGGCTTGAACCCATGAACCATGAGATCATGACCTGAGCCAAAGTCAGACATATAACTGACTGGGCCACCCAGGTGCCCTGCAAGTCTGATTATATTTTTAATCTAGAATTTCTGTCTGACCAAAGCCCACATATTTCAGAACTATTTTTTTTAATGTTTTGTTTATTTTTGAGAGAGAGAGACAGCATAAGCAGGATAGGTACAGAAAGAGAAGGAGACACAGAATCTGAAGCCAGGCTCCAGGCTCTGAGCTGGCTGTCAGTACAGAGCCCGATGCAGGGCTCAAACCCACAAACTGCGAGATCATGACCTGAGCCAAAGCCAGACACTTAACTGACTGAGCCACCCAGGTGCCCGGCTTCAGAACTATTCCTTGCCACTGTTTTCATCCTGGGCCTTTGGCACCAGCAGCTTTTTTAATTTTTATGGTTTGGTTTGATTTGTGTTTTTTCATTTTTTTGTGTTTTGGTTTCGATAGAGAAAATGAAAAAAGATGAAAATACAAAATGTATGTGACGTAGTATTAATTCAATTTCAGATTTGTTGAATGTCTACTGTATGACAGATGTTAGAAATATGATCAGCAAGATATGGACCTTACTGGAGTTCACAAAATGGTTGGGACAACTCTTGGGTAAACTATTACAGTGAAGTAGTATGTGTGAGTTTCAGGGGAGAATGCAATTAGCCACGGGTGGAGTGGGGATGGGGTAGATGTTAAGGTGCTTTAAGAGGAAGTCAGCCTGTGTGGCGGTTTTTGAAGTATAAATAGTTCCACACGGGGGAGTATCAGAGAAGGAAACAGCCCGTACAAATGCACAGCAAGTGTGAAACAGCTTGGTTTGTTCGGAGAGTGACCAATCGTTTAGTGTTGTGTAACGGGTGAGAGAACTCAGCACAGAGATCGGGAAGGGCTGTGTATGCCAAGAAATAAAATATACCCGGAAGTCGGGAATATAAACAGTTGCATTCACTAAGTAACGGTGACGTCATTCTTCCACCAGATTCAGGATTTGCGATGGACCCGCCACTGTTCAAGGGCCCTGGGGTTAAAGCAGGGAACCAGACCTTGTTCTCACAGAGCTTACATTCCTAATTGGGGTGTCCGATGGTCAGCTGTCAGGAGTAGTGTTGATGAAAAATGACGAACAGAGGCATGGACAGTCCAGGGGGAGGGGGAGGGGCAGGTGGTCAGGGAAGCCTGGTGGCTGAGATCAGTGCTGAGGATCCACTTTAACCCCGCCATCTGTCAACTTGCTCCTGTCAGTGACCGAAGGATTAGAAGGCATCAAGGTCCTGTTGCTACAACACAATTCTTCCCTTCGAAATGCCACTTCTTTGGGGTGCAGGGAGTGAAGGGAGCTGAATCTTCAAATACGGATGAATTGGATTGAGTGTGAAAACTAATAAAGGGAAACCTCACTAAAACGGAGTTGGGAAGTTGGGCAAGGGAGGTCTCACGCACTATCACTTGTCCTTAATTGCAAATCCAACAGGAGATAGTGGACCTCGTGTTATATATACCCAGATCGCAGTATCCTCAACGACCAGAGACCACCGGGGAGACCGAGTCACGCATGCAAAGGCAAAGGCCTGTAATATGGGCTTGAGCTCGGGCTCCCAGACCTCACCAGTGCAATGGATCCGTGCTGAGAGCCCCGAACAAGGGCAGAGTAGGGTTTTTATGGGGTTTGTGATGGGGGAGTTACAGAAGTTGTTGACATGGAAACAGTGATTCAATCATAATTATACAATATTATTGACAGCGGGTTTAACCATACACATTGTCTAGAGTATTTGTTACTTTAGGCGAGACTCAATTACAACATTTAGAGTACTTTTAAATTCAACCAACCATAGAGCGAGCCTAGAGTCTTGTTCGGCGACTAATGGGTTAACTTTTACATTAGGCAGCTGAGATTTATCTATAGTTGCTGGCCTTTCTTGATTGGGCGTTGCCAAGGTAGTGTGGTGGAGTGAAGTGGTGGGCAGTTTCTTCGGCCTTGGGCAGTGTGTAGCTGCCTGATAGTTTCAGGGAAACTGAAACTTAGGCCTTCTAGTTTAGAGGGGAAACTTAAAGCCTGTTATGGAGTCAGTCTGGTTTAGACTTGTGTCCTTACACTCGCAGGCGTATACTGTTTTGTTTTTATTTAAAAAAAAATTTTTTTTAATGTTTATTTTTGCAAGTGGGGGAGGGACGGAGGGAGAGGAAGACAGAGGATGCGAAGCAGGCTCTGAGCTGTCAGCACAAGCCCAATGTGGGGCCCGAACCCACGAGCCGTGAGATCACGACCCGAGCCAAAGGTCGGACGCCCAACCAACTGAGCCACCCAGGCGCCCCAGGCGTATACTGTTTCATTAACGCCCACAGGAGGAAGGCTTTCCTCTTCCCCCAGCAACAGTCCAGCCAATGACAGCTGTGACCGCGCGCCCAATGGGAAGCCACCGTAGTCTGAACTCCCAGTTTACTCCAATGGCCTTTTAGCTTACAACAGCCCCTCGCAAGTGCCCCCCTTTCCTTTATAAAATGAGCGAGCGACGCCTTTAGGGGATACTGGCTTATATTTTTACTTGCCGCCTGCTTGCCTGCGATTGCAACTCTCTCCTATTCCTGAATGAGCCCATTTTTCGCTGGTGAAACAACTGAGAGTTTTACTTTTTCAGGTTAACAGGACCAAGTGGATCCCCGTGCTAGGTGGGGCCGCCAGGGCTTGCGGTCACAGGCATCGGCCGGCCTAACCCGTGTTAGCCGGACCGGAGGAGCCTCCCCGCGGAGGACGTCTCACGATGGCTCTTCCCCTCGTGGAAACTAGCCCCATCGCCGCCCGCTCTCAGCCGGAGCGCTGGCCACTGCCGCGGGGCGGAGAGGAACGCGTGCGAAATCCCGGGCGAGGAACACCTCCTAGAGAAAGGAAGGAAATACCGCTTCCTCTCCTTAGGCCACGCCCCTCCGTTCTGCGCATGCGCCGCTGCTGCGCTCCGCCGTCTTCGTAACTGCACTCGTGGGGGGGAGGGGTGGCGGCAAACTCGCGGCGCTTGCTCACTGCGTCACGCGGCGGCTGCGCGTCACTTCCGGGTCAGAGGCCAGGCGGTAGGGTGCTGCGCGGGCCATGGTGCAGTTGCGGCCGCGCGCGTCCCGCATCCCGGCGTCGGCGATGGTGGACGAGGGTCATCCCGCCTCCGAGGAGGAGGAGGCGGCGGCGGAGCACGGCCTGTTGCTCGCGCAGCCCAGCAGCGGCGCGGCCGCGGAGCCGCTGGAGGACGACAACGAGGAAGGGGACGACGGGTTCGACGACGAGGCTCCGGAGGAGCTGACTTTCGCCAGCGCGCAGGCGGAAGCACGAGAGGAGGAGCGGCGGGTGCGGGAGGCGGTGCGCAGGTTCGGAGCCCGCCGCCGGCCGGGGTGGCCGCCCCTTCCTGGCCCGCGCGTGTCACCCCGCACCGACTTGTCACCTTCTCTCTTTCAGGGACAAAACACTCCTGAAGGAGAAGCGGAAGCGGCGCGAGGAGCTTTTCATCGAACAGAAGGTTAGGGGCTAGAGAGGGCGGCCTCCTTTCTCAAACCACCCGGCTGGGGCACGACTGCGTGTTGGGTGCCGGCGCTGGTGGGTCCTGGGGGCGGGGAAAGGCGCTAATCCTTCCGACACCGACACCGGCCAAAGCGAAGGCGCCCGCGGCTCTCTGCTGTCCACGGATTGGAAATGGGGGTGGGCAGAGTCGGGGGCGTGAGATGACAGGGTTTCCCCGTTGCAGCCCCTCGCCGCGACGAGCCTGGCCGTTTAGTTTCGCGGAGGTAGTTTCTTTACCCGGAACTGGGCTGCTGAGGTGCCTTGCGAACTGAGGTACCTGGAACATCTTTGCTTTGCCGGCTAACGTTGGGCAGACTGGCCACAGGGCACCGACTCCGATGGACGTGACCTAGTGGCGCTCATCGCAGAACAGTGACCTCTGGGCTGGGGTACAGTGGACAGCCTTCCCAGCCTGGGCTCAGTCTGCCCAGGAATGTGGGCCGGGTCCTGAGCTTCGCGGGCCCAGCCTTTCCACAGCTTAGAGATAGCGGGGCAGGGCCCAGCCGCGTTCGTTTGTCTAGATGGAAAGCAGTCCTTAGAGTCAGAAACTTGAGAAGCAACCTAGGGCACGGGGTAACGTATGTCACCTCTGATTAATTTTTAAATGTTTTAATCTAAGAAAAGAAAACTCCTTCCAGAGAACATTCTAGAGAAGTTAACTACAGCGGGACAGATTGAGTAAGTAATGGATCCTTGTTACCTATGCCTTGCTTATCTACACCTGTCTTTGGATTAGATACTGGTCCACACGTTGGTTGGAATCCACATAAGAGAATGAAACAAAAAGCGACACAGCAGGTAGTTGGATTTGGTGGTAAAAGTGGAAGGAATTAACTCCTTTTGTCTTTTACCACTAAAATAAAAAGAATTTTAATGTTTATTTTTGAGAGTGAGAGTGGGGGGGGGGGGAGACACACACACACACAACACACACAGAATCGGAAGCAGGCCCCAGGCTCTGAGCTGTCAGCACAGAGCAGACCCCGACTGGCGGCTTGAACCCACGAGCCAGGAGATCATGACCTGAGCCAAAGTCGGACGCTTAGCCGACGGAGCCCCCCAGGCGCCCCTCACTTCTTTTTGTCCGTTCCCCCGGCTAAGTCTAGCCTCCGAGTTACTGACCCCAGGGTGTTCAGTCCGGAGCTGGCACTGCTCCCGTCACTGTACTCAGAGCAGGGGAGACGGTGGTGAATAAAATGACATCCTGAACCGTTATCATTCGGTGAAGGAGCACACCTGCCCGCAGCCTCCGGAGACTCTTCTCCCCCGCTTGCCTCGGCGGCTCCCAGCCTGTCCTGCTTCATTCTTGTCATTTAGCAGCCGGGCCCTGTGCTGAACGTTAAAGGCCATTGCGGTAGTTCTCGTTGTCCTCTGTCCTTTGAAATCAAACCTTAGTATGTTTAGACTTCCAGATATCTGGTAATTTGTTTTTATATTCTCCTGGTTTCTCCTTATTGCTTTATTAAAGTCAGAAGTTTAGTTCTGTAGTTCATCCTTTTTAAAAATGTTTATTGAGAGAGAGTGTGGACAGGGGAGGGGCGGGGGGAGAGGGAGTCTCAGGAACCTGACATGGGACTCGATACCACAACCCTGGGATCAAGACTTGAGCGGAGTCGGTCGCTTAATGGACAGCCACCCTGACGCCTCGCGTCCTCTCTTTCTTGCTTAGACCGGTGGTCCTCGTGATTTTCAGTAAAAGACTTCTCCAAAGAGCTGTTCAAGTTCTGAATATGTGGAACATACCAACAGTTGTATCTGGTGGCACATTCCCCTTTCCTCTAAAACACCCAGCTCAGCTGTCACCTCTTCCTTCTCGCACTCCCCCACCTCATCGCTGCCTCCTCAGTGTAGATTTTCCGCTGTGCAAGTGCTTGTGCACGGGGGGTGTCCTGTCCGGTTTGTCGGCTCACACGGTTAGACCGCTGCTCCTCCAGGCTAGTTCTGGTCTCTGCTTCTGAAGGGTTGACTCCCTCCTCCGTGGTTCCCCCAGGTAAAACGAGGCAGTCCCACCACCTTTCGCTCTGTATTTTGAATACTGGATTACGGAACTCCTTTTCTCTGAAGTCTTTCACCTCGCTGCCCACCACAGCAGTCCACGTCTCCTGAAGCCAGCTCGTAGGCGGAGATCCTCACTTCTGAGAAGACACTCCCAAGCCTAGTATATGCTCATTTGGGGACTGTTAGCAGTGCCCTGGGGAGGGACTTTTGCTTTCCAAAACTGATTAAAGATCCTGAGTAAAAACTGAGGATGGTGGTCATGAAAGGGGAAGATCTTTGTAAAGGCAGATGAAGTTGTGTTAACAAGTGCAGCGATCTTTGCTACCTGCTGTACCAATCAGTATTTTCATTGTTCTTCCTTAGCATAAAGAAATCATCAGGAAAGTTGAAAGAAGGTATGATCTATTCTCATTTAAATAACTTCTTGTAAGTGTCAAGTGCATTTGCAGATTATTTGCAGCCAAATGTTTGGCCCGAGTGTGGGAACAGGCCTGGCCAGGTATAGCTTGGGCCTGTTCTGTTTCTTATAAATAAAGATTGCATCCACATTGGTGCTAGTGCATGTTTAAAGTGCGGTCTGGTAAATGTTCTGCTTTATTATATATATATGTATGTATATACGTGTGTGTGTATATATATATGTATATATATAACTCAGTTTTCTGTTTTTGTTTTTGTTTTTGTTTTTTTTTTTTAGCGAATTTGCAGAAGAAAAATGAAGACTGTGATAAAGGAAGTGATTCCAAGAAAGCTAAATTCCAGAAAGTACAGTCTGTCGGGTAAGGGTCTTCCTTCTTTTCACAGAAGGTATGAAGCTGACCTGAGAGAGAGTATCGGCTTCCGGGGAGAAATATTTTCAGTATAGTAGTTTCAAATTACATCTTTGGGGGTGGGGGAACCAGTTCTGATACTTCTGGAAAAATAAAACCTCGGCCTCCTAAAATGTCAATGTTAGTCTGTAGTAAAATAGCCCAGTGATGTCGTTTTACTCATGATCTGCACATACAGAAAATTAGGATTTCCCTGTCTTTTTTTCACTTTTAAGTAACAAAACACTTTTTATTTTCAAACTAAGCATTTCCTCAAGATTTGCTCATTTTGACCTTTTTGTGTTGGTCACCAGCCAGAATAAAAGCTACTTGGCTCTAAGGTTAAAAGATCAAGATCTGAGAGATGCAAGGCAGCAAGCAGCGAAAGCCTTTATACAGAACTCCTTATATGGCCCGGGGACCAACAGAACTACTGGTAATTTCTTTACAGATCTTTGTGTAAATTGCAGTAAAAAGTGAGAGGAAGTGATAAATCATTCTCTTTTCTAGTAAATAAGTTCCTGTCTCTGGAAAACAAGAGGTTACCGGTGAAAAAGGCTGCAGCCCAGTTTCTGAATAATACTTGGGGTAAGAGCCAGCTCTGTTCTCTTAACTTTTTATGTATCGAAAGTACGTATTTTTAAAGGAGGTGGTAAATAAATAATCCTGAAGTATTAGTGTTTTCCCTATGATGGCTTCTGTGTTAGTATCTTAGTTTCTTCTAAAACAGATCAGCGTGGTAGATACCTACCATACAATTTGATTTAACAGACCCAATTTTATTATTTATATTCACAGAATCTTGAAAACTTTGGAATTGTTTCTTGGGAATTTCAGATCTCATATTCTTAACTGCACAAAATTTTCTATTCCAGGAACTCAGAAAAAACAAAATGCCAAGAGGTTTAAAAGACGGTGGATGGTCAGAAAGATGAAAACTAAGAAGTGAATCAAATGAAGTAAATGAAGAGTGAGACCTTGTATGTATAGAACTTAATTATTTGGTATAGAAAATGTTCTTTAAAAAAAACCCTAATAAATCCTTTTTATAAAGAGTTTTGTAGGGTTTTTGCAGAAATCCTAGGTCTGTTGGGGGAAGTACCCCGTCCCCTTTCCTCCTCCCAGAGGACAGTCCTGCCTCATGGTTTCTGAGGACGACACTGCAAGCAAACGCGGTTTGAGAGAACTGTTCCCCCTGTGAGCGTTTGCACATTCACTTGAAAGTGCGTCTTGCACCCCGCGGTGCCGGGTGCAGCGTTGGGTGCGGTGCTGGGTGCGCGGCAGGGCGAGAGGAGCAGTGGGCGGCGGGGGTGTTCTCAGCTGCCTTTGTCTTGCAGAGGTTTTGGTGCTTTGAGGAGCATTCGCTTCCGAGGCTCTGGAACAGGAGGGCAGTAGCTAAAAGCTCAGTATCTCCGTGTAATCGCCAGTTCTTCTTGAGGAAGATGGGAGCCTCGGGGCACAGTCAGCCCAGATGACGTGGTGATCTTGTTAAATGTCCCTTTTACCCAGTTTGGGGGGGCTTTGCTTTGGTGGCGAGCCACATGCCGTCGTTATTACTGTCGGTACGACAGCAGGTGGTGAAGTTGCTGTTTGCTTTGGGCGGCACCCACGGCGTCGGGTCTGACCCTCATTGAGGGAGGCCGGGAAACTGAGGCCGTCCTGGGTTGTAGAAGTCCGATTTCTAGCGGAGACCATTCGTTTTAACTGCTCTACTTTCATATTGGTCAGAAGCGTGCAGGTACCTAAGATACAAATTCAATGGACACTCTAGTATCTGTAATAGTAAATTTTTAATGGCTGGTTAATTATATCACTACATTTTTATTGCAATATAGTACTCATTTAAGCACTTAAAAATGGAAGGTGTACAAAGATTAAATTAAGACACGGTAAATTGACTAAATATTTGGTTTTTATATAAATAAAGGTCATAACCACACTGTTGACATGTAATACTGTTATAATACAACAGTTAAACTTGTGAGTCTACAACAGAAGTCGTCTGTAGTTAAACAGGAAACAAAGGTGAAAAAGACCATGTTAAAACAAAACTACTGGGACTAACAGGTCGGGATTGTAAGTAGCAACAGACATATTCACTCAGCTCCTGAGTATTTCAAGTTTTACAGTACACATTAAAAATGATTTCTTCCATCAACACTATAAATTCAAACTGTCGGATGTTTATGCGGTTTGCAAGTTACACTGATTGAATGCTTATACGGGAGCGGGGGTCGGAGCCTCTCCCAAATTGAAGTTTACATCACCCACATGCTAACACAAACACGACTGGTTCCGTTTCCTTCCCCCCTCTCCCCCAAACAAAGGCGGCAGGATTTTTTGGTTTCTTTTAGGTAATTGTTTTAAAGGATTTGTGATGATCAATTTGAACGTCTGAAATTCAGTAATATTTAACTCTTAGACAACTAAGAGGTTAAAGATGGAAAATAATTTCTCCTAACACCAAGTTAGAAAATCATTTGCATCATGCTGTAAACTAGGAAGCAATGTAAAGCGACAAAAACCTGTCCCCAGTACATAATTAAAAAAATCTAAATTTCAAATCAGCAGAGCTGGTCTACTTCCAGGTTGACTATACGCCACAATATACGCGTGTGAGCTCCTTAGATGCATAGCTAATGTAGGTAGTCTTCCACTGTGGCAAACGCACAGGATCCAATTCCGGATCGAGCCATCAGTCCGAGACATTGTGTGGCCTGGCCCATGGCGAGGGCGAGTGGAGGTTGCTTTGGCAGATTGTGGGTTTCTGCGGAAAGACGATTAAACAGGGGGACGGCAGTTAGCAAGACATTTTCCAACCGCTTCCTAATTGGGAAAATACTGCATTTCTTGAACACTTACCAGTGCCTATACTGCTCTTAATTACCTAAAGAGCAATGGTAATTTCTAGGCAGATGATGGAGGTCTCGGCCCTGCCACTCGGACTAGGTAGCAAGGGTACTGAGTATTCGACTATGAAGAAAAATTCTTGCAGAATTAGATACTTAAAAACTTCCATATTAACTATGGCGGGAAAGATGTCATTTCTTACCTGATATTTACAGTGGGGAGTAAGGACTATTCAGTAGTTCTCTTCAACTTAACTAAAGTCCGATGACCGGACAGGAAAAGACCGCAGGCTTTCAGTAAAAGTTCCACTGATGGGCTCCTCCCCCCTGGGGACAGCCCAACAAGAGGCTGGCCGAGGTCCCAAGGCAGATTGGTGAACGTTACTTAGGTTTCTAGGGAGCAGATGATGATGGTGGCCGTGAGGCAAGACAAGAGAAAGCAAGACCACCCTAGAATCCTGGAGGGAGTTAACTTACAGCTGGTAGATAAAATACTTTTGAGATGGCTAATACATTTGTTCTCAGTGTCCTACGTACCAGAAGTCTGTCAGACAGCTACAGTACAAATGTAGGCAATTAGCAACATGTGTTCTTTACCGGAAATGAAAAAATGAACTACTGGTGAAAGTGACCAAGCTCTTAGAGCTCTCTTCCTGGGTGGAGATGTCCAAATGTTAAGTTTATATGGATTCTCAATAAAGTTACTCATCAGTCCCTTGTATGCACAGTGGACAACAGAGGGCAAAAACCAGGATACTGGCCGCCAAGGCTCCATACGACTTAATTCTATTAGAGGGAGAGCACACGTGAGTGGGGGAGAGGAATCTTAGGCAGGCTCCACGCTCAGCTCAGAGCCTGACCCGGGGCACGATCCCATGACCCTGGCATCAGTACTGGAGCCAAAATCAAGGAGTTGGATGCTCAACCGACTGAGCCACCAGCCACCCCAATTTATTCCAAGGTCGCAATGTGGGAGAAAGAAAAGTTCCATAAGGAATGGCACAATAAAAGGAAGCAAATTCAGGATTTAAAGGTCCAAGAGAAAACAAAACAGATCAAGAATGTAAGACTGGAAATCTGTAAGAAAAGACAGAGCGGTGAGAGAGAGGATGGTCTGAAAAGTGGTCTGTGGCTTACGATTAGTAAAGTCCTGGCTATTCTAGGGTGAGTGAGACGCTATTTAGCTGAGCTCTCTGATGGTGATTCAGCTCTAAGCAGCGTGGACTTGACAGTTCTGTCTGAGCCCAGAACAATTTAATTTTTACACAAAATCCACATAAAAAGGGATAAAAATTGAAAAGGAAGCTTTTTTTTTTTTGAAAATGGCTCTTGATGGCCGACAGGGAAGTAACCTTGCTGGAAGATCAGCAGCGGGAGGCATGGGGGTAGAAGCAGCTTTGAAGTTTTTTGGATATGGAACTGGTAGGAATTACATACAACTAATATAGAACAACTTCAAGCACTAATTATAAATACTGTATCAAATACTATGGTATTTATCAATATGCACGTATCCGTCCACAGCAACTTAATAAGCCTGTCATGAATTTTGCGGGAATCATGAACCGAAGTTTAAGTACTGGGCACAGCCGAGCATAGCTACTCTGAAGACACGGATCCTGCAGGGCGGCCCTACAAAATGTCACATTTAATAACTGTGAATTCTCTTATATAAAAAACTATTTTAAAAAAACTGGTTACTTCAAAAATTCTTTACAAATATGATACCTAAATATGAAGGTGGTAGTAATTTCAAAAAGACCCTAACAGTAGACCATGATTTGCCCTACAGATCCCAGCATTACTACTGAGTTCTGTTTTTACCAACAGAGGTAAAATGGATACAACACGTTAGCCAAAGAAAATTTACGTGATTTATGACATACAAACTTCTAGGAACGCCCCCCAAAACACGATTTTTTCCCTTCATGCTATCGCAAAGCACCCACCATTCTAGCTTAACACCAAGAACTAACAGTTCGCCCTTGAGAAAGACCGGTTTGAACTACACAGACCCGCTTCCGGGGGGGGTTTCGGACACGGTCCAGGAACGGAGCTGGCTTTGCCCGTCTGCTTTTCTTCACCTCCAGCTTTATCGTAAGAACCCAGAACACGACACACGTGACGCGCCACGTCTGGGTCCGTCCCAGGCTCCTGTTCCGGCAGGGCCCGCGGCCAGCAGCAGGGTGACGGGCGGTTACGTTTGGGGGGAGTCAAAAGTTAGATGCAAATTTTTGTGCCGGGGGGTTGGTGTCCCGTCCCCCACGTTGTTGAAGCGTCAACTGTAATGAACTTTAGGAGAGCAAATCCATGGGTTAAGGCTCATCTATGAGCACCTGCCTCCTTCACCCTGGAGGCCGCCCGCCACGGGCCGCCCTGCTCCTCGCGGCCGCGCGCTCGTGCCCCCGAAACGGTCTGCAACGTGCGCTCAAAGCTCCCGACCTCACGGGCCGAGCAGGAGGGAGAGAGGGCTCTAAAGTGCAGTCTCACTGTACCTGCGGAATTGGGGCTCTAAAGTCCGGTCCGAAGCCGCTCTTCTTCAAGTTACCTTTGAAAAGAATCTCCCAGAGAAGATACAGCTTTTCGTAATCCACCCCCTAGAATTTCTATATAAATGCACGAATGTTACCAGAATTCGGAGAAAAAGTCTATGGTTCAGGACACAGTAATCACAGTGCAGTGAGCTGCCGGCAGGAACAGCAACCGATGGGGGAACAGCAAGCCGCAGGCTCGCCCTTCATGGTCCCCCCTCCCTAGGTCCCGCCGCTGGCACTGCTGCTCTCCCCTCCCCCGTGCCTTTCGGCGGGTAAAGGGCCCCCGGCTGAATCTGTTGACCTTTAATGCCAACAGGACGCTACTCCAAGGGCTGGTGCTGCCAGCGCAGTCACACGTCACCTGGAAGTCCCCGCGTGTGCATCCCAGGCACAGCGGAGGCTGCGGGACGTGCGGCTAAGTCCAGAAACGTCTCCGTAACATGCACACACCCTCCTCTTTTCCAGACTTGCCAACGTATATCCCAGTGTGCGGCTTTTTAAACTGTTTGAATCATTTGATCTTGGAATTAAGATGAAGGAGGGGACAGTTTCTACACTGCGATAATTTCAACTTTTTTAAAACGTAGAGAATGTTTCCCTTAATATTTTACCAAAATAACAAATCCCAGCACAAGTCCCAGCTCAGGTGCTGAGAGCGTCCAGGAGAGGCGCTGCCTTACTCACCTAATATTGCACTGTTAAGGGCTGAGCACACGGGTTCTCTCTGAATTGGGTCAAGCTGATTTCCGACCGGGCTGTTCCAGGGATCCGAGTATGCGAGTAAACTGAATGCATCCTGTTGAGAAAACAGCAGTTTGGTTTTTAATTCAAACACTTAAGCTCCTGCGCTCCCCACAGTTTCGAGGCTGACACACAAGGAAAACACACAGCGCTCTGGCACCAGACTACTCCCGCGTTTAAGCCCATTCACCCCAATGACTATGAGGCTGGGTATTTTTAACAAGATTATGCAGCAAAACCTAATCTGTTTTCCCTTTTCTTTACTGTAAACGGCCAATCTGAAACTTGCCCCATCCCTAGAACACGAAGAGCAGCAAGATTACAACGCATTCCGGTGGAGCGGCCTAATTAGAGAGCAGGCGGGAACGCTCAGGTGCCGTGCGGCTTCTCACCGGGGGAGGAACCGGACGGGGAAAGGACAGGGTACATTTATGGTTTTAAACAGATGCGGGAACTGGCCCCATCTCACTGGATGTCACGGTCTCAAACCCGGGAGTCAAAAAATTTAAACTGGCTTCCCTTCTGGAACATTCAGTAGTTCCAACCGTCCTCGAGCCCCCCTTCCTAAAGGAAGGGGCGCGGGCTTCTCAGGCAGCGAGGCCCCCTCCATGGGAGGCGCGCACACGCTGCGGGGGTGACAAGCCGTGGTCCCGGCTGCCAGGGTGGGCGAGGGGCCGCTTCCTCCTGTGTCTCCTGGGGGTCAGGACGGGCCTGTCAGCGAGCCGGGAGCGCTAAGGGCTCTGTGCCGCTGCTGTTCATTCTCCTCTCTCAGTACACGAGGTCGTCTTTTGCCTGAAGTCAGTGCCCTCACCCGAGCAGTGTTCTAGAGAGAGGGGAAGTCACGGGACGCCTTCCCAGTTCAGAGGCGGGCGAGCAACGCTGCTTAGCAAAGTGTCAATCGGTGAACTCGGTTCACACCACTTTCAAAATGCGGATGACGGCCACGTGGAAGACTAGAATTTCTAAGGAAAGTACCCCAGGTCCAGGCCTCTGCTCGGCTCACTGCTACTCCCACAGCAGCTGCCGGGGAAGGGCTGGCTGGTCAACTGTGCTCTCGTCCCTTCCTGTCCCGGCACCCGCACCCTGGGAGCTGGAGGGGTGGGGGTGGGGGGCTGCCCATACAGCAGGTGCCGAGCAGTCTGAGGCCGTGGGCATGGATACAGCTGCCTCTCAAACAGAACGTGTGCGGATCGTCCACCGTCTTACGCTGCTGAGTATTTCATTCGTGGTCGACAGCTTGCCCCAATTTTTTTACTGAAAGGTTTCTCAGGAGAAAAATTCTGTGTTACACTATTCGGAGTCCCCTGCAGCTACGCACAGGCGCGGAGTACAGGGCGGAAGCTTCATACACTCGCTAATCACAGGACCTGCTGCTTACGGTGCATCGCACAGGGCTACCGGCTTCTATTTCCCGGCTCCCCACCATCCGCTTTACTGATGGAAAGAGTATTAACGTCCTATATCCTGGGAAGCCAACTCTCATCACCTCGTTTCTAGAGACTGATCTTTGCTCAAGACGTAATTTACCCCACAATCGTCTACTGAGGTACCATCCCCATACCACACATACTACAGAACTGTTCAAGGAACAACTGGTACATAAAAACTTCTAAGCACAAGACTGTCCCTCTTGGGTCTATACATCTGGATACACAACCAGAAACGAGAAAGGCTGCGGGCCCAGATCTCAAGGCAGACCATTCTTCTGTTTACACCTGCTTCTAGTATTTAACCAAAACCTCATGGAAAAAAGAAAATGATGGTAGTAATTTATCGTGCATTAATGCTGGGTGAGGCCCTGTTTCGAGCACCAACATTTTAGATGAGAATCTCATCTTCACAATAACCTTAGGAGGTGGATACTAGTATGCCCATCTCACAGAGAAGCAAACTGAGGCACTGAGAGCTTAAGGGCACACAGCTAGTACAGAACTTCTCTTAGTAAGATACAGCTTCTTTTAATTGCGGATCTAAATATTAAGATGGAAAAAGTCTAAAATTTAGCTCTAATATTTTCAAAACAACTGAACAGTTCTTGCACACGGCTGCGGGGCACAAAGAGCAATCACCAGGAGCTAGTCCTTGTGCCGAGAACCCACATGGCCTTCCAGAAAAGTCGGGCGTGTAAATATACAATGTGCAGTGTGCTGCCTGTGAACAGTGTATTGTGTCATGTGGCCCAGTCCCAGAGACCCAAGTCACATGGAAACAGGCCGAGAGAAAGACACGGACAGAACCAGGGGAAAGGAGTGGGGGAGTTTAGATCCTAAAATGTCCCCAGATCAGACTAAAAGGCTTGAATTTTGTTTTTCAAAATGTAACGGAGTTTTAATTAGAGGATGGATGTGGGTAAGACTTGACCTCAGTGGGATCCCAGAGCAGCACAAGGGAACAAGGCTTGGAAGTCAGGTGAAGCTGTAAGCAAGAAAATGAATAAAACTTTAAAAGAAGAAGGCGGCTTATGCCACCAGGTCCTCCGAAAATCCACAACTCTTCCCCTACAAAGGGAAGGAGATCAGGGCGGCAACAGTCACATGTTAAATCCTGCAGGGAAACCCACCGGAGGGCGGTGACCAAAGAAATGCAAACAAATGATTTTAAGGTCTGAGGCTGAAGCCACCAAAACAGATTAACACGGGTACGTCTGGCACTGTCCCTTCCTGCTGCTGCTGCTAAGCGGGGGGAAGGCTTCTGGAGAACAGTGCGGCAACATACAGGAAAAGCCACAACCACTCTAACCTTGGACTCCACCATTCTCTCTCCAGGACTCCATCCCGTGTTATACTTCTAAGGAACAAAGATACATGTACAAAGGCATTCACTGAAGCATGTGAATAAAAGCAAAAAATCTCATCAAGCAATGCTTTGATGAGCTGATAGGCAACACGAGACAGAATCATGTAGCCATTTAAAAAGAACTAATGCACAGGAACTGGAAGTAAATTTTTAGGACAATAGAAATTAAAAAAAAGATTACCAAAATTGGGTAAAATATACACACATGGGATTTAAGGCACAAAACAAACCGAATTGTGGGATTAGGGGTTACTTTTTACTTAAAAAAAAAAAAAAATCTCAGCGGGAATAACTTCTGAGGTAAATGTGACGTCATTTAGGCAGGATCCTCAAACTGTGCTCGTGGTGGGCTTAAACCCCGCAGCCGCTTCTAAACAGGGCAGGCCTCGGCCACTCTCTCGGGGCCTCAGTCACCAGCTGGGGCCGCGCCTCGGGGCGGGACTGTGTTCGGCCGCCCCCGCGGCGCCCCCCACAGCACCCCGCCACCCTGCGAGGCCCGGGGCGCCGCTCCCCGCCACACTCGGGAGCTGTGTGACCAGCCACTGGCAGACGCAGGCAGGTGAGGAACAGGGAATAGAAGAGGAAAGGAAGACGGAGAACTGGGAAAGGTCAAGAGAAACGGCCGGGCGCCGCAGGAACGCAGCCCCCCCCATTTCTCCCGCAGACCGGCCACCCCGCGGTCCGCCGAGGCCTGCCCCCCACAACTCAGAGGAGCACGATGTGGTAAAGCATTTAGGGAACTCTCAGCTTCCCATTTAAAGGAGTCTTTCTCTCTACAGATGCAAGTGTGATTCGGATGCTTACCGGATCCACACAAAATTAAAGACAAAAAATACCCACTACAATCACACGTGCCCCGAAGTGAAAAATAAAAGGAAAAGGAGTAATTCCTAAACCTCCTCAACGATGACAAAAAAAACACTCTTCATGGTGTCCTCAAATCCTCCGGCTGTTCTTCGGGGACTTGTAAGTTGGATCAGTTAGTCATCTTATCCCCACGTGGATCAAGATAAGTGGGGGGAATGGGAAGGAAGGAGTGCAGAATATTAACGAAGTCTCTTAAGGCAGGTGGCACGTGCTTAAAAGTCAGAAGTGCAAAATCAAAGCCATCCACATCCTTTAGATGAAAAAGATGAATTCCATCTTCACATGATTCAATATATAATCAAGGACTATCTTGGAGAAGAGGCCCCATAAATGCCATTTTCTGAGCTTCATGCACATCAGCATCAAAGACAGGAAGCTGATTAAGTGAAATCTTACATTCTCAAAGACACTACGTAAATCACATCCCCTCATCATGCACAATTAGCGTAAAGTTCTAACAAGAAAACAGTCACGATGACCTATTCTTAGAAACATTTCGTACCCAAATACCCCCCAGAACAGCAATTCTTGAAGTAAGTCCAGAGACACCTGGGTTCATCTAAGATCGAGGTCCTGTAACGTTAACACTGTTTTCGTCACAAGAGTGAGATAACACTTTTTCTCGCCTCACTCTCTGTCTCACAGCCACACAGCGGGGTTTCCAGAGGCCACAGGGCCCATGACAGTGACAGCACAACACATCGAATATACAGGAAGGGACGAGAACCCAACTTCCCCTCCATTAAGCCTGGCACTTAAAGAGGTTTACAAAACTGTAAAGTGATGCCCATCTTCAAATGTTTCTGGAAGTTACTTTTCATAAAAAGATTCAATGGATCTATGATTATTGGTAAGTAAATTAATAATCTGTTTTGGTAACTTCTAGTTTGGTAAATATCAATAAACAGAACCCATATAAACAAAACTCTTAATAAACATTCACAAATAGCGAGCTGCTATGTGCATTAGGTACATTTAAAGGCAGAGGAGTTCAGGGGCGCCTGGGGGGTCAGTCCGTTAAGCATCTGACTTTGGCTCAGGTCATGATCTCATGGTTCGTGGGTTCGAGCCCCATGTCGGGCTCTGTGCTGACAGCTCAGAGCCTGGAGCCTGCTTCAGATTCTGTGTCTCCCTCTCTCTCTAACCCTCCCCTGCTCATGCTGCCTCTCTCTCAGAAATAAAACGTTAAAAAAAATTTTTTTTCTTTAAAAAAATAAACGGGGGGGGCGGGGATTCAATAAAGACCTAATCTGACCTCAAGGAATTCTTCACCTTACAGGGCAAATGTGGGCAGCCATTTTCCTAATATATCAATGCCTGGTTTTAATTTAGTTTACTTAAAAAAAATTTTTTTTTCAGTATAATTAACATACAGTGTTACAATAGTTTCGGGTGCACAACAGGGTGATTCAACAATTATACATATCACCCAGGGCTCATCCCAAGTGCACCCCTTGATCCCCATCACCCATCTCACCCATTCCCCCCACCCACCTCCCTGCTGGCGACAGCAGCGTGCGTTCTCTAGGGCTGAGTCTGTTTTTTTGTCTTTTTTCTTGTTTCATTTTATTTCTTAAATTCCACATATGCGTGAAATCGTGTGGTATTTGTCTTTCTCGGACTTATTTCACTTAGCATCATACTAAGTCCATCCACGTCGTCACAAATGGCAAGATTTCATTCTTTTTTAGGGCTGAGTAACATTCCATTGTGTGCGTGTATCTGTATCTCCCACTTCTTTATCCCTTCATCTGTTGATGGACGTTTTGCTTCCGTAATTTGGCTACGGGAGATAATGCCGCTATAAACACAGGGGTGCGTGGATCTTTTAGAATGACTGTTCTCACATTCTTTGGGTAAATACCCAGTAGTGGAATGACTGAATCAAATGGTAATTCTATTTTTAATTTTTGGGAGATCTCCAAACTGTGTTCACAGTGGCTGCACCAGTTTGCAGTCCCACCAAGCGATCTGACATTCTAAATGAAAAACTGTTTAAATTACACATTCCACCAATTTTATTCAGCATAAGAATCCTAGTTTTTAAAAAAAAACGTGTTTTTTGATAGCTCAGGGTCACCGCCAGAAACCGCAGCGGCACAACGCCACAGCTGAAGTACAACACGGGGTGAACCCACCGCCGCTCCCGGCCCAGCTCCTGAAAGCACAAGGCCGCATGCCGTGACCGGTGCTGGACGGAGGTGGCCCCTTCGCCCATCATCCTAGGCTGAGCAGGTGGTGTTCCGTCTACACAGGTGCTGTTCTGAGGCTACAGTGCAGGTGGCTGCTTGTATGCCGTGTGTGGTGCCGCGAGGCGGTGCCAACTGTTGCACTAAGGCTCGGTCAGGGTCAGAAAGGGCAGGCAGAGGCCTCGCTCCTTCCTGCTCCACCCAGGCCTCGGTCTCAAGGCCACACCACACGCATCTCACCTTTGTTTCTGCACTTCTTTTAAAACATGCAGGGGAAAATGTTTATACCGAATCACCTTTGAGCCCAGGCTGATGCAGGATTACAAACAACAACATTAATAGCTAGGTTAAATTTCCTAGACTTGCAGGGCTGTTGGGATTTTCAGGAGCACGAGAAAGAAAAAACTTAAGTCTTAACATCTCTACAATGACCAGCAACAGTGACTTACGGGAGGGGAAAACTTCAACTGCAACTGACGCACAAAGCTGTGACGAACACACTAAACTGTGGAGTCTTAGCCACCTTGCATCTACCCTCGGCATCAGTCCTGAAGACATCTGAAAATGTACCTTAACTCCCTGAGGTTCTGAGAGAGGACCTAACGCCTCAGCGATCACTATCAACATGAAAACCACATAGTACACATTCAATTTGCTACAGCCCTGAACAATGTTTATGGAAATAAGAATAGGTCAAATTTATAGTTTTATCAGCAAACTTGCATGTCTCCTAATGACTCTGCCAATTTTACAGCTAAGAAAATGAAACGAAAGTACGTTGACAAATGGCATAAAATGCCGACAGGCGGCAGAACTGAGACTGAATCCATACCTTTTTTTTAAGTAGCCTTTGTGCGCCGCACGGAGCCTAACATGGGGCTGGAACTCCCGACCCAGAGAGCAAGACCTGAGCTGAGTCTGATGCTTAATGGAGCCACCCAGGTGCCCCGAATCCATACTTTTTACCTGAAGTCCACCAAGAATTCCTAGTACTCCGTGCTTGACAAAATTAAATTTTAGTTCTTCTGACACATTTATAATCTTTGAAGGAAAAACAAATCTACCTTCAACATTTTTTTATTTGCCGTGTTCTTGCCGCACTCTCTCCGCAGCTGTTCACTCATGGCTTGGAGCTCTCTTCCAAAGTGAATCATTCTTTCTATGGCGGCCTGACTCCCTCCACACAGCTGACGTCTTAACTGACTCGAATCGACTTCTGTAAGCAAAACAAACAAGTATTTTACTACCTTATTAAATGGAGCACCACAGAGAAATGAACATAAATTGCTTATAACATTCTGTATGTTTCATTTAGGAACTACTACTTAATAATTTATTTAAATATGCAGTTTTCTTTTTCATTTAATAGGAAACCTGTAGCTAAAAGGTATACTTCATCTAGGTCTCAAGATTCTAGGCTCTAATCTCCAGCATGCAGGTCAAAGTCAGGTGACAACCTTTCGATTTAGTATGCCTCTGGAATATGAGGGAAAAGCTTAGAAGTTAAGCACAATTCTCTAAAAACTACATGAAGCAGCACTAAGAAGAAAGCAGCACTGCCTCTCAGGCTTCCCTCACTGACACGGAGCACAGACGGAATAGGAGGATTCCTCCAGGCAAAAAGCTAAATGACTCCAATAAAAACACATGTTAGACACATGGTGAAGACACCATGTTACCGCAGATTAATTACACACTTTGAGAAAATAATTGTTTAGTATATATCTTGGTTGACAATAATCGCAGATCAATAATGTAACCATATGAATCCCTAATAACATAAAAATTACTAATGATGATGATAATTAACATTTACTAAGCACTTCCTTTGTGCCCATTAGCTTTTCACAAATTAGCCCACTTAATCTTCACGGTGGCCTATGAGGCAGTTTCTATTATTACTACACCCATTTTACAGATGAAGAAACCGAGGCACTGAGCTCGTAAGTAACTTGGCCAAGGTTACACAGGTAGCAAATGGCAGTCGCAGAATTCAAATCCAGGTAGTCTGGCTCCAGAACTCTCAATCACTGTGCTCTGACTATACTCTGGTTGTTGATGGTGCTGGTATGTGAGAGAAGGAACCTAGGCTGCCTTTTAACTACACCCCTTGCTGGAAAAATGGATTACACACTGAACACACAATCCTCAACAACAATCCTCAACAAGGACCTTTGAACCCCTAAATACTCAGAAATCTAATGTCACAGAAGTCAGACAAAAAACAATTTTTAAGCTCCGATAATTTTCATTCTCCAATTGATGGGAAAGTTTGCTGCTGGTTTACCATTATGGTACAATTTATTACACAAGTTGCCAACAAAAACTGTGCATGCTAATGTACCTTTCTGCTGCATAATTTTGGGGGGTGGGGCGGAAGAAGGGTGGGTCATACTGAAGCACCTACTGTGTGCCAGGCACTGAACTATGCATAGTCACATATATTCAGATTAAATGAACTTAAATTCATTAGAATTTATAAAATCATCTCTACCCATTTGGCCTTTACTGGCTATACCGTATAAACTATATATATATACACATACTGTACACTCAGTATAAAAACGTTCATATCCCCAACCCCAAGTATCCTACAAGACAGTTAACACTAGCAAGGGTAAGGCTGCGCTAACGCCAGTGCTAAAGCGAGTGGAAGTCAGCCCAGCACAGAAAGCTGGCTGGAGCTTCACCTCTCTCTCTAGCAGCCGACTCGCACAAGGCAGTTTACATAACACGTAGTCTTGTCAAATCCAATGGCACATATATCGTTAACTGTGATTTATGCTCATCAGCTGGGAATCAATACAAGTAAAAACATAACCTTGTAGTCATCATTTTTTATTAAAAATGTAAGAAATATCACTGCAGACCCATTTCGGTGTCACAATCTTCCATTTCGTGGTCATGTTTAGAGCTACCATTTAGGAACCCGTTGGATGAAGTCTCTCCAACCCCGTTGGAGTAGTGCTCCGTCTCCATGTCCACATCATTACTGGAAATAAAAAACCGAACAAACCTAATTTTAGAAATCACATCCTCGTAGCTTAGTTTAAAATAAATTACTACTCATAGCCTACTTGTAGACTGACTTTGTAAGGCAACAGCAATCTGCAAAAATAAGGTATTTGGTTAAATCTTGAATCTCTTCAAGGCCGATATGCAGCAGACTCTTAACAAAGCTGTACTCCTGGAGGGAGAAAGAAAGTGTATGTCTTAAAATGTAGTGGTTTTCTGACTTTGCATCAATACGGACAAACTCCTTTTCAACAGCTTCTCACCACTTTTCCAAGTCAGACCTGTACTTCATTCTGTGCTGACCAGCTCCTGCCCTGAGTGCCCTGGCCTCACGCCACACGCACTTCCAGCAGTAAAGGGGAAAACCAGCCTTTCGAAGCAAACGATTCCAGGATCCCACTGGCTCCCACTTCGTGCCCTCATAGTCATCTCTTCCAGGACGAGGTGTTCTTTACTGGCCAGGACGTGGCAGCATACGTCCTCACCACTCAGAAACGCAGCCTCCGTGCTCTGGAGGACCACCTCGCTGGCCCTCTCACCCTGGCCCGTCCCCACCGCCACCTACCCCGCAGGCTTACTGGCTACAGCATCTAAAGCGCTGCTAAATCTTACTTTTAAAAATGCTATTTTGGGTATTTAGGTCGCTCCTGCTTTTCGCTCATGTCACATTTACTGAAGCACAGTGCTGTGCCAGTAACTATCTGGACATGCTGAGCTCGTGGGCGCGTGCCCTCACCTCCTCTGTACTCTCGCTCTGAGAATGATAAACACCTCTTCTTGAAGATTTCTCCAGTGAAGATCTAGGCAGGGATTATATAGCCCAGAAAGAAACGCTTCACGAAAACAAAGGAGATTTAAATTAAAATGCACTTTTCTCATTACAAAAGCAACGTACACTGAATGCAGGTAAGCAGAAAGCGCCCTGTGCACACACCGCCAGAGGTAACCGCGGGTGGCACCTCGGGGTGAGTGCTGAGTTTCAGTGTGTGAGTGTGAGAGCTCTGCTCCTACTGGTGAAACATGGAAGATAAAAGAGACCGAGGAAGAAGGGGGAAACGGCCCCAGGATGACTCCATCAGTCAGAAACTCGCTTACTGTATCTTGATGAACTTTGACAACTGATAAGAAAAATCAAACTTTAGGGGTGCCTGGGTGGCTCAGTCGGTTAAGCGTCCGACTTCCACTTAGGTCATGATCTCGCGGTTCATGGGTTCGAGCCCCGTGTTGGGCTCTGTGCTGACTGCCAGCTCAGAGCCTGGAGCCTGTTTCAGTCTGTGACTCCCTCTCTCTCTGACCCTCCCCTGCTCACGCCGTCTCTCTCTCCTAGAAATAAATAAAACATTAAAAAAAAAAAATCAAACTTTAAAAATAATGTTTAATTTAATGGAAATTCTTGAGATCATAGCTCCTAGTGATCTTGATATACTAAAACTTGTTTCTTTTCCTTTTCTTTTTTCTTTTGACAATTCAATACGGTATTTGGGAGAGATTCTTTCATTCAACGCACTCTGTGTCATTCAACACACTCACAGCCTCAGAGCCCATGGTGTGTTCCGTGCTGAGGTTACAATGAGGCAATGAGCCTCTGCCCTCCAGGGGCAGGTGAAAGTTAATCACAAGGAGCCACCCCATTTGGGGGGGATGTAACCAAGGAAATCATCCTGGAAGAGTTAACAAGTGAACTCGGTTTTACAGCCAGGCTTGCTCGGAGGGGAAGAGGAAGGAGGGGAAGAGGAAGGAGGGGAGAGGGTAGGGAGCAATGCTGCAGAAGAGATAAAGCATGTGACCGGAAGTCCGAAATCCTGGGACGCAGTCACTGCTCTGCAACTTACTAGCTACTTACTAATTGACATTTATCGTTGACAACAACGAAAACTCAAATTTACTTTTCTGGTGTCGGCTCTACATCTGTCAAATGGCTTTAGTAGTGGTACCAGCCCGGCTACTTCAGAGCAGGCTTGTAAGGAAAGCCTTCGCCCCCCATAAAGTAACTGTTACCGTGTTAATGGTTCCAGGCATCTCACAAGCTCACTTACTTCTCCCACAGAGAAGACGCTGCGTCACCAAACCCTTCCGGTGAGCTTGCTTCCCTGAACTCAGGTAACAACAGGTCTCTTTGGCAACTTCCTGCCATGAGGAGTATTTCAGAGAAGAAGCCGCAAACTGCCGGAATTGCCCACAGCCCTGCCACCAACAATGGCAGAACCCTCTAGCAAGAATGGAGTGCTCACGTGCTACGTATAAAGTACATACACATACATATACGTTCCATACAGAATTCGGATTACGACACGGCTCTCTAACCTATTTTCTAGTACATGGTTTCTACCGTGAAAGACAGCATTTTTCCCACTCCTCTCACACCACGTCTGTGGCACACCACACACCACCACTTCGGCAAGCTGGCACCTGGATAGATAATCTGGGTATTCTCATGACTCTCCTGATTCGCAAACACAGATTTTCACATATCCGCCTTTCTCTAGAATCCTATTTCCTATTAAGATTCCACGTCAAAAGTCAGTTTCTTTCTTCTTCGGTGAAAAAGTTTTTGCACTGCTAAACATTCCCCCAAAATGGCGCATGACCAATCAATTCATGTTGTAAGACCAAACCACCATCAGGCTGATAAAATCTACTCATTACTTTTCATCATTCCACTGGTCCTGAACCACAGCGTATCCAGACGCTGGATGATCTGGGCAGGCTGGCTTCGTAAGAACTCGTATTCAGATGGTTCCATTCCATGAACCTTGAGGTTCACGAATATTCAACCCAAATATATAAAGGGTGACAGTACAGTGACACAGACACCTCTTCTCTCATAGCTCTCTGGAGTCAGAGACTGGGCCCGGCTGAAGGTCTGACCTCTGACAGGTCCTCAGAACTGGGCTCGTGCTGTCTGTTTACTGAATGACTTAAAGTCCATCTCCTACTACAAGCAAAGCCCCCTGAAGTCGGGCTTTCAAGAAAGATGCTTTGTCAAGTTAGTTATTTGGAACTCAAAGAACCTTATACACATTTACACCAGGAAACCCACATGGAGAGAAAATAATAGTTGCAAACATCTCTATGTTACTTGTAGCGAGTAAATACACCACTGTGACTTAACCTGGAAACACCAGGGACAGCATTTTCGTGGCCGTCGGTACAGGCCAGGCCGGCAGCAAGACCAGGGGCAGGGGTCCGGGACGCACGCTTACAGCCCGGCAGAGGGAGGAGGGACGCAGACTAATGAGGAAGGAACAAGGAAAAGAGGCTGCTGGCACCTGGGGAGGCCAAAAAGCTCTGGGGACCTCATTCCCTACCCTTTTATTCTCTGAGCACTTGGGAACTCCCGGACCCCCATTATGGACGATACACTTCAAGTTTTCCAAATGATTACAAACGATGACGCTACTAATAAGGTTGCGTAGAGTGACACAAAGCTAGGGAAACGCATACCTGGTGAAGTTATTAACTTGCTGTGACCTTGACATGTTTATACTGTTCAGCTCCGGTACATTCAAAGTGGATGACTGGTGTTTACTATGGCAATAGGACTGATGGGCTTTATTTGATATCACACCATTACTACAACTTTCAAAACCTGGGGAAAAACAAGAAAAGGGTGCGTGGAAATACAAACAAACACGAACTTACTATTCAGCTGTAATGACTATTACATGCCCATATTCTGATCTTGCAGTTAAAGCTTTTATAATGTAGGCAAGTCAATGCATTACTTAAAAGTAAACAGATAACTTCTTTGAAAAGACAGAAGGCTATTAATTGTGGGCTGTAATTATCATCTCCTCAGACAGTTACCAAAGGCTTAATTATGGGTCTTATTTAATGCCCCAAAAGTCCCCCACGAGGCCTGAGTTCTCATCGTTCCCATTTAATGTAAGAATACACTGAGGCTAAGAGGTTGTCTACGCCCGAGTAAATGCATGGAATTCAAGAAAGGAGGGGGCGAAGGGTACAAATGTGAGAATCATGTGCACTGTATGGGATGGCAATGTAAATAAATCGAGAGGTAAAAGGCACACACAGGCTGAGGAGAAGCAAAGGTGTTAGTTACTCTATGACAGGAAACAGAAAGAGGACTTCTGTTTCGGGAGGTGAAATGTACAGAAGGACAGAATGAGACCAGCTAAGAAAGAAGACTGAGAAGACTGGAAATAAACCCACAGAAGTGAGGTCATCAAAGGCAGGAGAGGAGAGAATTTCAGTGACTAGAACACCAAAAGCCTGAGAGCCTATCACCAGTGAGCCCAGAGAGGGACGTGAGAAAATGAAGCAGGTACAGCAGAGGCCGGGTGGGGAAAGAGAGAAAGCAGGCGGCCCAGCGAAGAGTGGCCACGGCCACGGCGCCGCCTTCTCATTTACACTTGATTAGAACACACAGTTACCTTTTACCTATGATTTACCTATGATTATCTATGACTGATCTTCTAGAGAGCTTGAACGTTGGCCTTCGTTTATGAAGATCTGCTAATAATCTACTCTCAGAAACCGCTTCTTTAAGCCACCTGCTGGTACTAAAAACACACGAGTCTGACCCACTTACAATTTTTCTTCCAGGACAACGTGAGAGCAAGCATGCGCATGGGCAAAAACAGCTATGTGGAAAATGTCCGTGTTTCAAAACATGTTCACTCTGGTTCAAAAATACAAAGGAGGGCCAACGCTTCAGAGCAACGTCGGAAGGCTGAGTCTCACCAGAGAAATGGGCGCTGCTTCCCTTGCCCGGCGCGAGGCTGTGGATGCTCACTCCGTGGCTGGGGCTCATGCTCGGACTGCCGAAAGGTCGAGGACTGACAGGGTAACTGTCCTGAGATTTTGGACTCCGGCCTCCCAGACATCGTACTTCACTATCGGTACCATTCACCATTTCTATAAACTGACGCACTCTAGGAAGAAAGAAAAGAGACCGTTTTACTTGGGTCATTTTCAAAGAGCAGTTTATTTCGTAGTGACAATGGATTTCTGAATGGAAATACTCAAAGAACCTGAATTTATCAGTAAGTGTGGCCTTTAGATGGTGTGCTACAAACACTACATAGAGTTTCATATACAGTACTGCTTAGAATAACTTAAAAAGTTCCAGAAAAATCAGGGTGTAAAGCAAAAGACACTCTATCACTTTTCATTAAGATTTACCAAGAAAGTGAGGCTATCTGTAGCTATAAAAAGTCAACTTAAACGGATTTCGTTTTTGAAGCTAAAATAATTTAATCAAATAATATTTGCACTTGGTGGCAAGTCACACAGTACGCAAGAACGCGATACGATATGCTTTCGTATACATGTGATGCAAAAAGCCTTGTTCCCCACTTTTCCTCACCCCAACTCCCACTGCAACCTCTTAACCAAAATGTGCCACACTTAAAATTTTACTCTTAAGCAAAACAATTCTGGCATTTGGCTTACAAAGAAAGGGTTTCTGGGAGGGCACCTGGGCGCCTCAGTCGGTTAAGTGTCCGACTCTTGATTTTGGCTCAAGTCCTGGTCCCAGGGTTGGGGAATAGAGCCCCTTAAAGGTCGGGCTCCGTGGTAGGCAGGAGCCTGCTTGGGATTCTCTCTCTCCCTCTGGCCCTCCCCCACAGAAAAAAGAAAAAGGAGAATAAAGGGTTTCTGGTACTTAGTTGAAATATTAAGCTTAATAACACCTGAATTTAAAAATAATAAAGATTTGTAAGACCAATTAAAAAAAAGCCAAATTATGATGGCTATTTAAAAACTGCAAACAAGATCTGGGGACACCAGGCTGGCTGAGACTGTAAGATGGTGCAGGGCTAGAGTCCTAAGGGTTAATTTCCTTAAAAAATGAAACAGATTTATCATAGGTTCAACAATTCCACTTCAGGGACCCCACACGGATATTCATACACCCCTGGTCACAGGAGCGTTATACATAAAAACGAAAGTGAAAGCAACCCGAAGATTTATCAATTATTCAGCCTTCCAAAGAAAAGAAATTCTGACCCGTGCTATAACACAAATGGGGCTTGAGGACAATACACTGGGAGAAATAACCCAGTTACAAGAACAGAGACGGCATGATTTCTTTTATCTGAGGCACCCAGAGGAATCTCATGCAAATTCACAGAAACAGAAAGAAAAATGGTGGTTGCTGGGGGTAGGGGTGGGGGGCAGGAGAAATGGGGACTTCGAGTGTCCGTTCGGGATAATGAGAAAAGTTCTGGAAGTGGATGATGGGTGACAGAACAACGTGACTCCACTCAGTTGCACACAACTGCACGGGGTGCCTGGGGGGCTCAGTGAGTTAAGTCTCTGGCTTTTGACTTCGGCTCAGGTCAGGATCTCACAGTTCGTGAGTACGAGCCCTGCATCGGGCTCTGTACAGACAGTGTGGAGCCTGTCTGAGATTCTCTCTCCCCGACTCTTTCTGCACCCCCCCACCCACCTGTGCACGTGCGTGCTTGCTCAAAATCGGTAAGCTTAAAAAAAAAAAAAAAACTACAGAAGTGCATGTGCAACAAAGCAAATGTTATGCATATTTTACCACAGCTTTCGAAAATAACACAGACTTACAATAAGGTACTTTGCAGGAGGAAAAACAGATACCCATCTTCTAAATACAATTTTAACATTTTTAAACATATAGCTAGCACGACAGAAGAGCAGAAACAGCAAGAGATGCCATCTGCTTACAATCCTAAACAAAGAAGTGTTTTTTACAGACCGTTACGGAAGCGTGCTGTATTACAAAATTATATGCAAATACCTGGAACAGGGTAAAACCAAAACTATCAAAACATGAAAATAATTCTGATTATACATAACACACACATTTATATGTATAAAATAACATTTTATTAAACAAACTCACTTTAATGTGAAAAGGAGATTAGGATTTCTTTCAAGTAAACTTGGGTATAACTGTTGTGTTGTTTCAATGGCTTCTCCCATTCTTCCTGCTAACACTAATTTCTGAATTCCTATTTAGAAAAAGAAAGCACAAGATTACTTTTTTAAGAGTAGAAACATACACTCAGTGGCAAAAGATTAATCATAAACTTAGTGGACCGCCAAAAAAAAAGTTAGTAAAAAAAAAGTATTTAAATCATTGTGGATCGACTTCCATTTCTTTTTTTTTAAATCACAGTTTCTACTAGGCAATCGAGGAATAATTTCAGACACATTAAAGAACTGGAAAAACAAGTACTTTCATAAACTATTTCTAAAAATCACAAATCTATAAGTAATACAGGAAAAACATCTGGGGAGCATTACTGAGGTTTTAAACACTAAGATTTAAAAAGAGGGACATGTCGATGGCATACAGTGCGGTGCTGGCTTCACGGGATACTTATCCCCAACTCTTCAACTTATGCACTAACTGTGTCAGCTTCTAATATGCCAATCCTACCTCAATAAAGTGTGTGCGTGTGTGTGTGTTTTTGTTTAAAGACCAGAGCAAACATTAAAGAGCTAATATTCAAAATGCCTCATCAAATGTGGTAATTTCTGAACCCAGTACTAAGAGATTGGTATCCTTTGAGTAAGGTCTGAATTCAACATTCCCTGACTGTTCCCCGCTGTCAGGTAGCTGTTACATTACATGATGAACACACCAAAAGAGTAAGTGATCATCTCCTGTTTGCCAGAGCTTAAACAAGTGAGAAAGACAGACAAGCTCAGTTAGCGACAACACAATGGAATAAGTGTTCCTATAGCAGTGTGACTTATAAAAACATTGTTTTCATCCATCATGATTTCACCCATCACGTTGTTTCAATGCCTATCATCCCCTCCCTGGGGGACTAGCTGCACCACTTTTACTTAGGAGGCTAACTATGGGAGTTACACGCTGAGGGAGACTGGGGAGACTGGGCCCAGCAGCTCTGGCCACAGCACTGGGACCCGAGTAATAAAACGTAAGGTCAATACTACCTTGAGTTCAGACAGCAATTTAAATGCAAAGACTTACATTTCTTTTAGGTATTATCTCTGCTAGTATCTAATCATATGGGGATTGCTTAACCAACTAAAAAAAAAAAAAATGTGTTAAATGTTTACTTCCTAAAAGCTAAAGCAAACATTTTTAAAGAAAAAATTACGTAAACATTTCCTACAAAACTTTCTCCAAAATTCTATCTTTCTCCATCCGGAATGCTAACACAGTCTCATGTGAGGTTTTTTTAATGGTGGTCTTCAAAAATGTCAATGAAAATAAATTTCAGAGGCATCCATTTTAATATATTTGAAAAGGTTTTAATTTAAAAAAATAAAATTTCTAAAAATTGATATAACCAAACCTATAATCTGAAAACAAGTGTTATCCATGCACCACAGGGTCCTTACTTTGTCTATTCTTAATGGAAGCTAATTCTTCTAGAACGGTCTGGTCTGTAGATCTGGCAAAGGCCTCTGCTGTGGCACAGTACCCATGGTGGACTAAATAAGATGAAACCATTCTTAAAATAAAAAGAAGAAACACACATCTTTTAGTCAAGAGAATACAGGCTTCATACTACAAGTTATATAAAACAAGATCTACTCTGATGTTACAAAACCAACCTATTCCCTTGAAACGAGGCTTTAAGAATCTCAACTTTAAAGTAAGTTTAAAAAAAAAAAAAAAAACATTTTGTTCTATTCAGGTCGTATTTTCAACAAGGTGGCTGCAAATCCCATGTGCAGAGCGCGCTCCCTAGGAGTCACTACCACTAGAGAGGTGAGGACGCCACAGGGCTCTTGATTGACTCCCCGATATCCCCGGGGCCTCTCTTATTATTCCCATCCTTATACTCAATCCCATGGACCGTCATTCCGGTTTCACCTTTACTGCATGGCTTATCCCAGGGAAGTGTTGGCATTTTATAAAATACAGTCATTTAAAAATAACGGATTAACTCTTTGCGTGGTGTGGAGCTCAGCTCCTTTCTCTGCTCGTCAGCTCGGTGAGATGGGATCACAGGAGGGAGCACAAGAAATACTCAGGTGAACCGGAGAGAATCTTCCGAACAAAGTCTCTGGGGTTGAGAATACGAATCAGTGAGAAGATATCCTTCTAACCTAAGTCTATTAGTATGACTGTACACAAAAAAATCACTCAGATGTGACTTACACGGAAGTGCCACACTTCCAAAGAACAAGTGTATTTTTTTAAAGGTCATCAAGTGGTCAGAACACATTTACATCTAACCACAAAAGGTTACAAAGACTTGATTCAACACTATTAACCCCAATAACCAAAATATCCAAATATTCAAATCCTAAACGTGCCTCCAGTTGGCTCTACTAAGGCCCTACCAGCAAGTATTGGGAAGCTGTGGTTCAGGGCAGAGGGACTGAGTGGCAGAGGGGCAAATCTCTAAGAAGCAAGATTTTTCATTTTATTTCATCTAATTGGTCAAATTAATGTAAAAGGGTAGGGAAGAGCTTTTTTAAATAGACCCCCTAGGAGGTCATGGGGAGCGTCGGTTTTGTAAAGAGGGGGGTGGCGGTGAGGGTCCTCACTGGACGCTGACTACAGGATGAAGATGAACAAGGTTTCCTCTCCTACTGCCCTGCGAGGATGCTCGGCGGCAACCATTTTTACGACATGAAAGGGATGTGACCTCAGGACAGCCCTTATGGTAGCTCTAACTCCTGGTGACCGTGAGACATCCAGCCAGGCTTCATTGCTCGGGCAGAGCTTCTGTGACACCAGAAGAGAACGACTCCGGGGAAGAAGCATGTTTTCCACATTATCATCATGTCTTCCAACCACTATCTCCTCCAAAAAACACACGCAGGAAATTTTATTGTATCTTTAAATTTACAAGTGTTCAGAGTAATTACACAGACATTTAAGACAAACTGTCAGATTGATGGTCTGATCTCAAAGTCTTTGCTATTTTCTCGGGTGAGATGACAGTAGTGAAAATGATGATTTAAATTTACTGTTACATAATTTTTAAGTCTACACTATTTCAAGCTGCAGAGCTACAATTTAGTGCCACTGACACCCAGGTGTCATCTCTAGCCTTTTAGCAAAGGTATAGGCTAAAAAGCTGACTGTCATAGGGCTTGCATTTTCCTGCTGACTTCTATATGAAATTCTACTTTTTCATAAAGAAGGAGTTAGGATTAAGGCTGTTCATCTTATAGTACTTTTATTGACACCCACTATTTGCTGCTACCCATTCTGTATCACCCAAATTCCTAAGCATTTATCCTGCATTTAGGAATCCTCACTCCATTCCTAACTCTTTGACCATCATTCCTTTTGCTTCCTCTTAAATCAGAACATTGAAAAGTAAACTACATTAAGAATAATTAGTAAGATTTTTAAAAAATTCCTTCAAGAGAAAGCTTTTGGTCAGATTTTTCCTATTTAGAACAGGGGCAATTACAGCCTCCCTGAATCTACATGAAAAATAGTAAATATTTTTAGCACAAAAGGAATCCTAGTAAGCAAAACTAGCTGACATTATTCTGACGGGGTAACCCATACACTGGAAAAATTTAGTCAAATCTTGAAATACAAAACGTACATGCCAGGTGTGTATTCCAGTACATTAACTATACCATTACTTTGATGCTTATTTTAACTGAATAATATTTTTTTATCCTCATAAACATATGACCTGGATAGTCAGGTTCATGTCCAAAAACGATTACTCCTGAATCATACAACCTAAGTTATCTTCCTGAATTTGTCTTTTGCGTTGGCACTATTAATAACAGAATCAAGTAGCCTATGGAAATCATTAAATCCTATGACTAAGGATAGCAAATGAATGAACCCAAGCTATCTAGTGTCACTTTATTTCCTCCACCAAATTAGTAAGACCAAATACAAAATCATTTTTAATCGTTTAAGTAGAGCGAATTACTTTTTACAGAGATTAAAATGTAATCAATACATTAAAATTATTAGGATATATAAAAAGTATTTTTAATCGTTTAAGTAAATTACTGTTTATAGAGATTTAAGTGTAATCAACGACACACTAAAATTATTAGGACAGAAAGTAGATTAAAATGCTTCAGTAAGTATTCTTTCATACTAGACGAATGTTTTATAGAAAATATACTTTTGAATGGCGTCCATTCAAATTTCTCCACTTACTTTTGTATCATGGTTTGCCATTCGCCTTCCCGATCTCCAATAGGAAACCGGTCTATCTGTGCCTGTATCTTGGTTCTCCACTCTCGCATATAATCTTCTATGTCGAACACGAAAGGGTGCTGCCCGAAGTTGGCATCCACGACTTCTCCTGGTGTCTGGAGCCCCACGGTGGGATATAAATTTGGCTGTAAGACAACACATTTCACTAGCACCTATCTATCTATCTATCTGTTTATATTAAAGTCTTATTCATTCTTTCGAATGCTACCTTTCAAATAACAGAATTTTACTTCTTGAATAGATTAAAATCTTGATCAAAGCCAATAAAGAAAATTACCTAAAGACAATTGAGAGCAAATAATCTAAATGAGACTGAATGCTCGAAAAAAAAAGTAGCATGTCCCATTATCTAATAAAGAAAAGTATAAAGCCACCTAAGCCACCTGTTTTATTTATTCAGAGACCGTGTGTCATTATACTTCTAATAAGCAAAAACACAAGTCTTGCTCTAAACAATATGTCACCTAAGCATTACACATTGATTGAAGTGTAAACACACTAATTAAGACTTATCCTTTTATATATGATATGTCTGATGAATTTCTAGAAACGTCATGTGAAGACAAATTAGTTACTGGAGAAGTACCATTCTTCCCGGGCAGGCACCACTTTAAGTTTCTTGATTTCATTTATCTGTATATTTGGCAAGTCATTATGAAGGGATGGTGGTAAGAACTTAAGTATAAGCAAAACACAGTGCCATTCTCTGTATAAAAATAAAAGACTCAAATGCAGATACTTCAGGAGTGGAAAGGGATTTAAATCATCAAATTCACAGAGAAACAAATTTAGATCTATTCCAAGTTTTGAAGCTAAACAAGTAGTTCAAGTACACACAAAAATACAGGGGTCTTTTTGGCTCTGTCACTAGTTGTTATTATCTAACAGGTGGATGAATTACTCAACGTCTACTAAATAGCAGGGTTTAAGCATGGTAATAATCCTGTGAAATAATTATGATTCGCATTACAAAGATAGAGAAAGCGAAGACGGGGGTAAATTAACTTGCTCTTGGTCTACACTGCGACAGACGAGGGACTGGAACACAGATTAATCTGACAACAAATCTAAGTTTAGTTCTACTTTAGTAGACCTACTTCATCTTTATTCTCTGTATTTTATGCCTTACTTCCTTGATTTAATGGTTATTACAAATATTTTCACTACAAAATCAGGTCAAGATTAAGAGCAGGTAATTTGGAAGTGAATAGATGATGCTTAGAGATCTTTCATGGCAAAAAGCTAAGAGGATGTATTTAACAACAACTGATCGATCAAGCAACCAAAATCTGAAACAAAATGAATACTGTGTCCAAACACTAAGAAAGAGACTTGCACTGGATTCGGGAAATAAACGGTAACGCAACATGTGCAAATGCCCAGATTCCGAATCAACCAACCTAGTGAGTTTTTACAATTCTAAGCCGGAGATAAGTGAGCTACTTGTTCCAACCCTCCCTTGTTTCTTCCGCAGAAAACGGAGACCCAACAAGTGGCAGGTAGCACGCGTCTCTGATACCCAGGCAAAGGAAGGACCGCAAGCCTCTCCACTTCCGGCACATGATTCTTCCCACACAACTCTGAAACCAAACTTTGATACCTTAAAACAAAACTATACAAAAGCAAACACTCTTTGTACAGAGTGAAAGGCAATCCTGTTTGTTACGCAGAATGTGACTCTGATCTCAGCACTGCTCAGAGCCGCTTTACCAAGGGTACGCTAATCTAAATTTTCCTAAAGAATTCGGGAAAATAATCCTAACAACACCAGAAAAGAAAAGCAACACTCAGGAGTACTCCAATAAAAACCATGCCATGACACAGCTTAAGACTTCCCTGTGACAAGATATGCCACAAACGTCGAGACAACGGACTTTACAGGGAAAAAAATCAGCTACATATATAAGGATCAACATTCCCAATGTAAACAATATTCTCACAATACAGGACAAAGATTAATAGGCCAACTCGATTTTTAGAGTGGTGATAGCTATACAGGCAATTTGCAGAAGAAACGTAAAATAACAATGGAAATATGAAGAGATACTTAACCTCACTGACTTGCCTAACATACACATTAAAATAAGAATTTTTTGTCCATTAGATTAACATTTTAAAAGCCAAGACTACCCAATGCTGATGAAGGTTGAGACAGTAAGCCCTCTCATCCACTGTACATAGTAATGTAAACGGATGTAATCGTTTAAGAAAGAAATTTGGCAAAATTATTGATACTGACAAAGCAATTTCCCTTGTAAGAATTAAATCCTACACAGAGGGGAGGGGGGGGAATGGTCATGGAGGAGGGCACTTGTGGGGATGAGCACTGGGTGTTATGAGGAAACTAATTTGACAATAAACTATTTCTTTAAAAAAAAAAAAAAATCCTACACAGAAACAAACAGAATGCCCTGCAGCATTATTTCAATGGAAAAATATTTAAAAGAATGTCCATTCACAAGTTACGGTATTACATACCACATTCATCGAAACTCAGACTCCAAGAATTCTAAGACATACCATCATTTTATGTGTAAGAAAAAACACTGCCCATTAAATGTGGCAAGCCACAGATTCTAAGATGCACCCCAATGTTATAAATATCAAAACAAAAACAGAAGGGCACCTGGTTGGCTCAGCCGGTTAAGCATCTGACTGCAGCTCAGGTCATGATCTCACAGGTTTGTGAGTTTGAGCCTCACACTGCGCTCTGTGCTGAGGTGAGGAGCCTATTGGGATTCTCTCTCTCTTCCTCTCTCTGCCCCTTTTTCTCCCCCACTCATTCTCTCTCACAAACATAAACAGCCTCAAAAAATTAAGTGTAAAAATATGAAAAAATATGCATCTCAGAAATTGTGGTAGTACACCATACAATAAGATATTGCAAAAACAAGAGTAAAAAATTTGTATGCTGACACAGAAAGATATCATATACATTCCTAAATGCACAAAAGCAACCTAGAGACTAGTACAGAAACTGACCTCACCTTTGCTGTAAACATTTAAATAATGGACACATTGGCTAACCTAAATTCAGAAACAGACCCGGAAGGACATATACTCAACACAGCCATCGTATCTAAACAGGCTGGAATTACGAGAAACTGCTCTCTTGTATATTTCTGTGTTTAAAACATTTACTATTCAAATGCTTAACACTGTGTATTACTTCTATAATCAGAACGTGATGAATAAAAACTAGAAGTGGTAAAGTCAGTTGGATTCGGTGAAAAGTAACTATATTTTTTATTCCACTTGCTTAACTTTAAACCTGAAGAACTGAGGAGAAAGGGAGTAGCCCTTAGGTACCTAAACTATACATTAAAAAAAACAACAACTCTAACAGACTATTTCACTTGCTGGACAACAGATTTCTGAAAACAACGCAACGGTTCTCAGCACAGTCACTGAGCTGTGCAACAACCATCACCACTGTTTACTTTTACAACATTTTCCTCATTCTAAAAAGTAACCTTGTGTCTATTAGCATCACTTGCGGCTGCCCCTCCAGGTAACCCCTGACTGCCACTCCTCTGCTCTCTGACCCTACACATGTGCCTGCTCCAGACCCGTCACACAGATAGAATTCACACAATGTGTGGCCTTTTGTGACTGTTTTCTCTCATTTAGCAGAAAGTTTTCAAGGTTCTTCTGTGACACAGCATGAATCTAGGTTGTGGTTTTATGTAAAACACTGTCTTCTAGAAAACTTGCTGAATTAAAAAAAAAAAAGATCACCCCTTCTCATGTAGAATTAGACAAAAATGAAAATAAGTCTCCATGAAGAGAAAAGAAAAACAGATCCCCTAATTTCTATTAACCTGTGAAAGACAAAGAGAGATTAAATATAATATTCAAAAACTAAATATATACAAAATCAAATTCAGTAGCATAATCTTGTTCCAAAGATGTTTTCTGAGGAAAATGAAAGCAAATAATGTATCTGTAAAAAGTCCACTTCAAATCAGCTTAAAGAACTGGAAAATAGCATCATTTTAAAGGAGAACAGCTTCTATAACAAAAAGGAAAGAATTTACCTAATCCCAAAGTGAATTAGTTTATAGCTAGACATTTCTCAAACTGGTGAGGTGAGCTGGGGAAGAAAGATTATTCTGGAAAAGATGTAAGGTTTTCAAAACCATGTACACACCCTAGGTTCCATGAGAAGTGGAATATAGTCTAGATCAACTTTTTGTCTGTAAATACACCCTCTACCAGGATTTAATGTTACAACTGGCCGGTGAGAGTTCACAGGTAGAGAACATACAAAGCCTTCATTGGTGGGGCCCTTAAGGGAAAGATTCACTTTTTCTTTCCTTTTCAAGTAGCAGAATGCTGTGCTGCATGTGCAAGTCCCAGAAGATCTCAGAATCGTAAGAATAAAAAACTCTCAGAACCACTGTATTTAAAAAACCCCCAAAACTTGTAACACCACGTAACTACCACTTTACTCACTGTTGTTAAAAAGCTAAATACTACCACTGATTAATTATAGACAAGGCAAAAAACACAACCGGTGATTCTAAAATGGGACCAAAGTAACCAGAAGGCAACACAAAAATAGTCAACATGTCTACAACAGGCTTAGTCTTTTTCAAATTGTCACCACTCGGGCAAGTGAGGACAAGAGCTCGTAACACATCTGCTTGTTCCGGCAAGTCGGTTCGACTTACTTTGGGTCACAAAAAGAGGAAAAAACGCGGCTAACACCCAACCACCTAAGCCCTTTAGCCAACTACAAATGAAACTTCAGTGTTGCCCGAGGGCCCTGCGATGGTTCTGAGCCGGGTCCCCCCGCCCCCCTCACCTGCCCTTCCACAGACGCTGTTCTCTGAAGCCTCCCCTCCACGGGTCACATGATTCCCACCTTGGCCACGCACAGCGTACTTCTCCCTTTATATTAACTTGTTTGCCTGCTACTGAATCCTTCTCATCAGCGAATAAACATCCTAGTAAATCAAAACATCTTTCATTGCTCCCACTTCCACCACCAGCCCCTACATCGCACTTGTTTCCTCCCCAGCGCAGTCAAAATCCTCCACCAGGTTGTCCGTACTCTGTGATTTCCCTCCTCCTATTCGCTCTTAAGCCCTTTCCAGTAAAGATTTCTCCATCACTCAGTCGGCTGAAATTCTGTCCACGCCACCAGCGACCTCTGCTCTGCGTAAACCCGCCGGTCAATTCTCAGTCCTCCGCTTACATGAGCTATCACAGGGGCATCTGACACAGCCGCTAAGTCCTTCCTTCTAGAGATGGTTTCTTCACTTGGCTTTGCGGACACACTCCATTCTAAGCCTGCCTCCTACCTCACCGATCGCTCCTTCTCAACCTCCCTTTGCTGCTCCCGTCTCTTCTCCCGACCACGCATGCCCCTCTTCTCTGCCTACACACACTCCCTCGCTGACGTCAAGCAGTCTCATGACTTTACATTGAAATACCGAAGTGCCAAAGACTCCCAGGTTCTCATCTCCAGCTCAGATCACTCTCTTGAATTCTGTGAACTTGGCCACTCCATTTCACTTACCCAAAACTGAACTCCAGATCCACCGCCACTCAAAGCCTGCTTCCTCTACACACAGCCTTCTATCAGTAAGTGACACCGCCATCCTTTCCACTCCTCAGGCCAAGAATCTCCGAGTCCTACCCTCTTTCTCATATGGTCATCTCCAATCCATCAGACAATTCTCTCGGCTCTGGCTCTCAGGTGGGATTTTGTTCAAATCATACTGATTTTGGTTTTTTAATTCAACTCCTTATCTGGAACTTACTTTGGTACAAACACAAGACAGAATCTCAAGATTACATATTTTTTCAAAAAGATAAACACTTGTTCCATTACTGCTTATTAAATGATGCTTCCTGCTGAGCGTGTTGATTTCAGGCTCCAAATTTTCCTTGGCTTAGCAAAGTTGTTTTCTAGGATTTCTTTCGATTTCTTCTTTTCTTTTCCCCTGAATTTTCTTCAGGAATATTAATAATCTATAGGTGGGATGACTATTCTCTGCCTCTGATCCTCCTGTCACTTTTCTTAAAACATCTCAGAAACTGGAACGTGCCTTATAATCAAGGGCACCTTACATGTGTCTGGTCAGGCAGCTGTCGCTGTGCCTGCACAGGTGTGAATTTGTTACGAGAGCGTTTTTCCTGGTGAAACAGGGATAACTGCAATTTCAGTCAAAAAGTCATGTATGGACCAATTAAGAAAGAAGTATCAGAGTCCTGATGGTTGTCAGAAAATCTCTGGTTAGTACCTTTTGGGAATATAAAAAGGGCTACCATCAAGACCTACGCAATGGCATCAGGAGGTTAGAAGAAAATGCCAGAGACATAACAGACAGCTCTGAAGAAATGTTCTCAACAGCACAGAAGACACCATCGCATAGAAAACCATAGACATCAACTCTGAAAAGTGGTTTCAAAGGTCAGACTCTAGACATTAAGTTGGGGAATGCCTTCATCAATCTACATTGCATATTGTATTCTTGTTAGGTGCGCAACGAGTGATACTGCTGAAGCACCTATATTTACACAGGCAAAGAGAGAATTCAGTGAATACAAAATAAAAATTCAGGTGATAAGAAAGCATCCTATCGTTGTCTGTTGGGTTTTTCCCTTAGTGTCTGTCATATGTGATGCACATGACAATGGACAGTCTTTGACTGACAGTGTATCTAGAATCACACCAGTTCTCACATCTCCAATGAGGGGAGTCACCATCATCTCCCGCCTCAGTCTCTGCAACGGCCTCCTCATAGGTCTGCTGGCTTCTACCCTTACTCCCTGCCCCCGTCTAGGTCTCAACCTGGGTGAGTGACCCTTTAAAACTTAGGTTATACCTCAAACCCTGCAGGGTCTCTGCCTCTCACTCAAAGAACATGCCGAGTCCCTACAATGGCTCTCAAGGCCTCTGTGGTCTAGCTCAGCCTCTCCCACCAGGGCCTCTGCCTCCCCTAGCGCTCCCTTGTGCTCCTGCCTCAGAAGGGCTCCCCTCACTGTTCCCTCGGCCTGTGGCCTGTGGCCTTCTCTACATACCCGCTGAGTGGACTCCTTCGCCTCAAGTCTTTGCTTGAGACTCATCCCGCGCAAAGGTGAGCAAACTGCACAACTCACCTTCTGTCTTGGTACTCGCACGTTTTCTTTCTTTAAAAAGTACTTAAAATAGGCTATAATTTACCTGCTACTATGATATACTTGTACACTTATAACGTATTGTTTATGCTCTATTCCCCTGCTTGGCTACTTCAAGGGGACAGAGATCTCCACCTGTTTTGATGATGTATCCCGAGCATAGGCCCTGTCACCAGCAGCCACTCAACATACAACTGCGTTAACGGATGACCAGAACTGCTGCACGGCCTCTTGCGGAAAAGTTCGGGGGTACCAAGTGAATGCAGGGACATTACAGGGTGTATTCTCAGTATCAATTCTGATATATTTTTTAAAGCTACAACGAAGTTCCCTCGCGCCATGACACCCCTTTAAAACTTAGGAATTTGGAGCTTAATTTCTCAAGTGCACAACAGTGGTGGCTGGAGGAAGGACCTCTATTCTATGCATGGCATGCAAAATGTAACATTGATAATTATCAGTAAGACTGAGTTCCAAACATGCTTAATACTGGTTTCTTTAATGTCTTTTAATTAAAAATGCAACACTGCTTTTAAAAGAAAGGATGGCTTACCGGGAGGTCGGTGAAAGCAATACCTAAAAAACAGACAGACAAAAACCAAAAAAAAGTGGCATTAGAAATGGTTTTTCAAAGGCAGACGACAGAGACAAGCTGAACTGAATTTCTAACTGAAAACAAGGGAAGGGATGGCAAAGGAAGGAAAGGGAAAACCTAAAGGCCAAATATAAAATGATGAGACCAGCATTTTTTTTCAATCACCCCAACAGAGGTTGGAGTGAATGCTACCCACACACCAAGTTTTCTTACGGGGTACCACTTTGAAAACCGGTTTAAACACGTCTCCTAGGCTATGTGAGCGCCCCTTCAAGAAAGCCGGTTGTGTGACAGCCGCATTTGATTTGTGACCCACACACAAGCCGCTCTTTCCAGTCTTATCACTTCATCTTCCTCACTTAGATTTAGTTCTTCAGCAATTTGGGGAGGAAGGGAAAGGAGATTTCTTTTGTTACCAAGGGAAAAAAGTGGACAATGCAAGATACAGTATTTTTGCTCCTTAGAAAAAATTTTTTCCCATGAAAGTACAATCTGAAATAAGTTTTGACTATTCTGTGAGGAGAGTCAATTCCTCATGCAGAGGATCAAGATTTACACAGTTGAGAACTCATGAACGTCCGGATGAACACAGTCATGCTCCAAATATACTTGAATAATGTGACGTCACTGGAGTAAGTCTACCGGCATCCCCGAAGTGATAACTTAATAATCTCTCTGCAAGTATTTAAATACATTACTTAGCAGAAAATGCAATAATAAGTAAACCAAACATTTCTGTAGGATCTCATTGATAGGTTTAAAAAAATGAGCTCCAGAAAAACAGGAGGAGGTGTTGTTGGTTTGTCAGTTAGTCTCAGTTCTTCCAGTCTAAATACACATTAAAACAAAACAAAACAAAACAAAAAACCACACACCAGCACCGCGGCCTCTTTGGTGTTGATCATCACCTAAAAATTGAGGGCGTTTCTGTTCAATTATCTTTATGGTCTCTCCCCACTTGAGACTTTGTGGCTCTGTGATTGTGCTGTACCGTCAGAAAACACAACTACCTGATATTAAAGTAATAAAACCGCAAGGCAAACAGACTATACATCTCTATGGTTTTTAGTAAATGTGTAAAAATAGTGTTTTGTAGTCGAACTCTTGTTTTTATGACTTTTAAAAGCTGGTAAACTCTGGCTTGTCAAAAGGAAAACCAAGCGACAACATTCCGATGACTTTTGGCTTCATGAATAAATAGAAAGCGAAGGGACTACAGGCCAAATGTGAAAATTTATTCTAAAATTTTCAGAAAACTAAACAGGATACAAAACCCAACAGGGAATATCTTGGCTATCATTCATATCTTTAGCATTTTTCGTAAATTAGCAGCCTGACAAATTATTTTCCGCAAAGACTGTCTACTTTTACAGTTCCAGCAAAAGTTCCTCTTTGTTATTACTGAAATCTCCAGTCTTTACCAAAAACTCGAATGAAAAACCCAATTCCACAGATGAACATTTCTGAACATGGCCAAACACAGCAGCACTGCCCAAACACATTCGGACCACAAAAAGATGCCACGTTAACAAGTTAGTATCCTTATTTAAATTTTACACAGAAGACAATATTTTTAAATTTCTAATTCTGTGATTTGTCAAGAGGATTTTGCAAAAAGTGATCTTCGATTGATAGAAAACGAGTAAAAAAATATTCCAATTAAGTTAACCTGGATACCAAACTGTTTCTCCTTTAACTATTTTCTCAAATAAAACCTTCTCCACTTCTATTTCTATGATCAGTAAATGTGTATATTTGAAGAACTTCATGAAACAGAAACTAAAGATGTATCAGCTTTTGGGTAGAAGTTATCCACTTCGGGAAGTACAGAACACCACTGTGGAAATAGTATTTTATTTTTTAGGTGCCAGAATTCGGACCAAAGGCAAGCACACCCCTGTGAAGAAGGTACACACGTTCTGCTCGCTAGGCTGCACGGTCTCTCTGTCACAACTACTCACTTCTGCCACCGTTAACAGGAAAGCAACCATGCACATTACACAAATGAATGGGTGTGGCTGTGTTCCAGTGACACTTTACTTTAAAAAAAAAAGACAGGAGACCAATCGGACCAGGAGCCATGGTCTGCTGGCCTCTGTCCTAGGGGAGTAAGTTTTTACTACTGGACCCCAGGCATCTAGCCCAGACCCTGGCAAACAAGGACAGTAAACAGCATTTAGTGCATACTCACTACGTGCCAGGCAATCGCCTAAGAACTTAGCATGCGTCATTTCAGTCGACTTCAACAACCAGAAAAAGGTGGGTGTTACAGTGATCCGATTTTACAAACTGAGGCACAGAGATATTAACCTGCTAAGGTCACATGGCCTTAGCCAGGAGACAAAGGCAAGCAACTAAAGAACCCGTTTCGACCGCTCTTACACTGCCTCTCTGTGTGCCTGACAAACGTCACATTTCTAAACGAATCATGACGAAGGTCTCAAATTTGCTTAAAATTAGAATGTGATTCCATCACTAAGTACTCTTTTCCTAAAAAGCATCTCACATTTTAAAAGCAGTCTCTTATTCAAGAGAAAATCTCAATATAAATATTTGTGAAACTCTAACAGGAAACAAAATCACAGCACCTATGGTGTTTCCAGCTCCCAAAATAGAATTTCTTCTCTAGAATAAAGTTTTAGAAACTGGAAAAGGCTAATTTGGGTTTTAAAAATATGTCTTCTTTTGCATCTTTGCAAAGTCATTCCTCAAAGCAGATTTCACCTAGTTTAATTTCAGATCAAATATCTTAAGCAACCAGGGCCCCTGAGGCCATCCTAGCAAACTGCTGGGTAAGTCAGAGCCAGAGCAGTGTTATAAAGAGGCTGCATCCTTCTGGAAACTGGCTGGCCAATGCAACCTGACCAGAAATACACACCTCTTGCCCGGTGTCCTGAATCAACATTCTTGTGCCAATGACAACAATACAAGGGTCTAGTATGGACCTTGGATGACCTTTTAGTCAGGCCGCACAGGACTGCAAAATCAGTATTAAAAATGAGAAGGAAAAAGTTGAAGCCAAATATCAATGTGAAGACACGAACTGTATGCCAAGAAAATACTGAGACGATAAAAAGGAACAGCTCTTACCCATGTGGCAAAGCACTCAGAATTTTCTACTATGAAATGAGAAGGACACAACAGCTTTTATGTTCTACCAAGAACATCTATGATTTGCTTAAGGACACTATTCGCAGTCTACTTTTTCTATACTGTGGATGGGCCAACCGAACTTTTCGGCCTCTGAAGCTACGGAGTGGTCGCTTCCTTATGCTTTCCCTCTTCAGAAATAATTTGCTTTGCATCAAGGATTTTCCAAATAACGTGAAACCATGTTATTTATAAAGCATCAGTCTTGCTATCCTTTATAGCTTCCGTATAAAAACAAAACCAAAAAGACTTCTAAGAAAAGGGAGTGTGACAACCACACGCGATTCTGAATTTGAAGTGCTTTGGGTGCGTGTGCAACTAAAAGCCTAATTTCCTCCTCGTCTCATAGGCTTCTTCATGTTTTCATTAATCTATTTATTTTGTATTTGCCATCTGTCTTTTATCCTTAGAGATTCTGCTGTTAGTTTTTTGGTTTCAGTTCTGCTCCTTTCTGCAGGACTGACCTGCGGTCATCATTGTTAGCAGGCCTGACCTTTTAGTAGGTCACGGCCTTTGGTGTGCTGGACAGTGTCAATCTTTTCCTTCATTACACCCCCGTACTACACAACAAACCAACAGCCCTTTCTTTCCCGCAGCACCTGTTACCTAGAGAGTGCAGTCAGGCTATGAAGTGCTTTACTCAAAGCAAAGCAGGAAACACTTAGCATTTCTATCACTTAGCATTTCTATTACTAGAATAAATAAGTGAGCATGGGGATTATTTTCACAGTTATTCCCATACATGTGATACAAGGCGGCCTTCACAGAATACAAATTTTCACCATTTCCTCAACCTCCACCTGGAAGGAACAAAGAAATAATGTCCAGAGGCAACTATTTATAACAGACAACTCCATTAATAAGCGTGACTACCATGCTGTAAGTACAATAATCACAGTATTTGATTATTTTACATGCAATACATTATCTTAGTACCTAAGCTATGTCCATTCTTGGTGTAGAAGCAGGTATTGTTGATAAGGTTAACACAACAGCCAATGACATCACCAGTCGTAAAAGTTGGTCCATAAGGTTGTCCCGTTCCGGAAGAACAAAATGAATGTCCATCATCCCCATGATAACCATATGAATGTTTATCCCAGCCTAAAGAGAAAGTTCCAGTATATTTACAATGAAAAGTCAGGTTCCTCTGTACTAGAGCTATTCACTAAGATTATGACAAGAATGGTACAACAGACAACAGCACAAAGATAAAATTCCCAAATGTACATGTAAATTCTCAACAATTACACCATATGATTTCTACATGAAAATACTGCTTACAACACTAAAGAAAATAAATTTGCCACACAGAAGACTAAAACATGTATTACACAAAGACTCCTACCATTAAAAAAAAAATAGTCACATTTTCCATGCATATTTCCTTTGCTAACAGACCAAAGGAATTTTGCTTTGATTTGGCTTAAACACACACACGCTCCCCACGGCGTTTAATATAAAATAGGAGATTTTTCTTTCTATTTTTAAAAAGTTTCCCCCCAAAACTAATTTTTAATGTTAGTGTATAATCCAAGAACCACTTGCATCTGATTAATGGTTTGAGAAACCGTTCTCCCATCTCAAATGACACCTTCCTTAATTTACTTTTCCTATCAGCCAACATTCCAGAATATTAAGCAAATGACAACAGGTTGAAAGCCAGGAATGTGCTGGGTATCGAAGAGAACCAATCATATGAAAATACTTAAAGTAGTTCATATAGCTAGGTACCGGAAGTTAAAATACCAAAACAAAACAAGCAAAAAATACAAAACAAAAAGCAGAGTAAATGTAAGTTTTGCTAAATACCATAAAATTTTAATTTCTTAAAACCATTCGGCTTCCAACTTTGAACTCGTAATATAGGTGATTAAAAACAGAGAAAAATCAATTTGTTTAACTATTTCTAATTACTACTTCACATTTAGCCAGAAAGAAGTAGCTATAAGGCAGTACTATAATTCAATTACAAGTACCTGGTAGTCTATTCATGTTCACACCTTGAGCAGAAAGACCAATTCCCATGTAACTGTTAAAAAAAAAGGGGGGGGGTGGGGAGGGGAAGGAAGAAAAGCATGTTATTATAACCATATATAGAGAGAATTACCAAGCACTCTGAAACATCAGAACCCAGCCCAAATTGAAACTCCTAGAACAGCTACAAAAAAGTTATTACAATTCATTAAATAGCAAAAAGGACAATATTAAAGCATAATAGAACCCAGATTCACAGTAAATTCCTACTGTATTCATTCATAAATACACCTCAACTATTAGAAATAATTATGCACTCTACTAACAACTCGAAAAACCTTTCTCCTTATCCACTCATAAATATTTACAATTAAGACTTCTAATAAAAAAAGTCTAGCAGGAAATGTGGAAGAAAAAGAAAAGAGGAATTAGGAAACAAATATATTTCTAAAACAACCGTAAAGATTGAGACCACAAAAAAAGGAACACAGACTCAGATTTAGAAAAAATGTCAAATTCATATAAAAACATCTGAAATATTTAATAAAATTACATGTTAAAAGTATGTACTGTATGGTATCCATGTACTTATTTTTTAAAAGAGTTTTAGCTAACTGACAAAATCAAATTAAACATGGGACTCTTAATTTTTAATTTAAGAAACTAAAAGAATAAAATTATCTCCAAAAAAAAGAAATGGGATTTATTTTTAAAAGTTTATAAAACATTAATAAAACCTATAAAGACAGGAGAAAAGTGGAAAAATATAAAGCAATACACCTGTAAATACTGAGACCAAAAAAATAAATAAAACAGTAAACTCAATCCAGTTTGTTAAAAGGATAGTTGACTATGACTGCATCAAGATTTAAAATAACATTCGACAGGGTGGTTGGGTGGCTCAGTCAGTTAAGCATCTGACTTCACCTCAGGTCATGATTTTATGGGTTCATGAGTTCAAGCCCTGCACTGGGCTCTGTGCTGGCAGCTCAGAGCCTGGAGCCTGCTTCAAAATCTGGATGCCCCCCACCCCCTAAAATAAACATTAAAATAAAATAAGATGGTATGTGACAAATTTCAGCTACATTCCTAATAAAAACTCAAGCAAAATAAGAGTAAAAGGAAACTAATATATGACACACTTCTCCCCAACTCTAATATGGCAAGATATTCAGCAGTAAACCCTGAAGCCATTTCTGCCAAAATCAGGACATGGAGTTGTCTACAACCATTAAACACTGTTTTGAAGTTTTCAGATAATTTAATAAAAATAATAAAAACAAATAATCAGTATAATAGTAAAAAATATAAAATAATCTTTATTTGTCATTGCTATGATTATATACACAGAAAACTGCAGAGTCTCCTAAGAGCTTTGAGAATTACAGCGGACCCTGGAATGACGCAGGGGGCTGTGCTGCTGACCCCCATGCAGTCAAATATGCAAGTATAACCTGATGACCCCAAAACTTAATTGTCTGCCATGGACCCGAAGCCTTATGAAGAATGTGAACAGTTAGCTGACACACAGTTTGTATATTATGCCCATTACACACTACACTCTCACAAGTTATAAGCGAAAGAGAGAAAATGTCAAGAAAATCATCAGGGAAAAAAAAAGTCTACTATACTGCATTTACTGAAAACAATCTGCATATAAATGTACCCAGGCAGTTCAAACCCGTGTTGTTCAGAGTCAACTATAATTATTTTGGCAAAGTGACTAGATACAAGACCAACATTTACATTTCTCTTCTAGTAGTAACCAGCTAAGAAAAAAAGTGGTGCGTGTAAATACACAGTCGCAAAACTACAGAAATCATAAAACAGGGATCTCAAGGCATAAAAACAATATATTAAAATAAAAACTATAAATACATGGATATATTATGTATTTGGCTAACCTGACAGTACAAAAAAGAGTATCTTTCTAAAATTAGTGTATACATGTAATAAGATTTAAGAAAGACTCCCAAAGGATTTTCAAAACTAGGAAATGATTTTAAAGTTCATATGTAGAAATACAGAATTTTAGTCAAGAAAAGCAACATTTTTTAGACGAACAGTAATTTAGTGTTTGCCCCACCAGATATTAAAGGAGTGAGCTGAACTCACAAAAGCAAGATTACTAATAAGGGCAGTAACTCTTGTCAAATGAGACAAATGAGAGTGACAAAACATCCAGAAACAACACTTAGCTATCTAGTCAAAAAGACTCAGCAAGCGTGTGTTTTGGTTCAACCCCTCTGTTTGGAACAGAACATGCAATGTAAGTAGGGGGAAAAGTAAAAGACTTATTAATGAGGTGCAAGACCCAAGTCTTTGAGAAGAAACACAAAGCTGTGAGCAGGGATATGAGACAGGCCCGCCAAGTTCTGGGCCTCTGAGCACACATTAACGGCCACAGGCTCCCCCTTCGGGGAAAACAAGGACTAGAAATGTTCCCCGGGAGGAACACCACCATGCTCACTGCTTCAGACCAAAGGCTGGACCAGGCTTCCGCTCCTGAAAGCGAGGGAAGAGCACGCCGCCACAGCTTTCGCCCGCTGACACCGGGGCCTGGTGACAGTGGCGGCGGTCTCCTAGGCAGCCCCCAGCAAAGCTGCCGAATGATCGGGGACCGAGCCTGCAAGGCTGCTGGTCCCGTTGAACAGAGAGCCGGAAAACTCTTCTACCTGCTTTTAGTTTGGGGGCCCCGGTGTTCGAAAGCACAAACAGTCGTAAGGAGAAACTAAGGATAGAAAGAGATGCACAAAATGAAGAAAAACTTTAAATTTTCCAATCAAAACGAGACTACAGAAGCAAAATCCTGTCACATACCAAACACGGAGAGGCCGAGGAAATAAATGCAGAGGCTACAAGAACTCATTCTAGATGACACAAGTGGACAAGACAGAACATTTTAAAAAGTACAGTTAGGATATGTACAAGGAAATAGGAGTCTTCGGCACTGAGAGTTAAAGCAGGACATCAGTATTTATTAAGATATTTAGCTAATTTTCCACAACTAAAAACTAGATCGTTGAACGGGAAGCGCATACACACTGAAGAAGATAAAAATAAAGCCGCACGTGGACACACTGTAAAATATCAGTAACACGTAATCCTAAAAGCTTCCAAAGAGAAAATGCAGACTATCTTCCTCAAAAAAAGACCACCACACTGACAGCAGATCTGCCCCAGCAGCAACCGATGGCAATCAACAATGGCACAAAGTACTAAGGGTAAAGAACTGTCTAGAACTTAAGGTATAGAACCTAGAACTTAATGCTCAGATGAAGTTTCGCTGAAATGAGGGCAATATAAGGTATTTATAAAGACGATAAAATGCTAACCATTTACTAGCCACAGACCCTCACAAAAGAACTACTAGAAGATCTGCTTTAGTAGAAAGACAAGTGGAAAAAAAAAACAAAACAGAAAAAATGCATGGGTCAAAGAAACCATAATCAGCACAAAACATGATGACATAGGTAACTAAAAATAATGAATTCCTTAAAAATATTATTTTAAAATTCTATAATCCATTATCTTAATCCATATCTAATATGCTAGAACACAATTACTGGCACTTTACCATTAATTAAGTAATTTACCATTAATTTAATTAATTAAAAACCTAGGAAAACATGACCCATATTCCAGAGAAACGAAACAAAACAGAATGACCCTGAGATGGTGAAGTAGTTGAAATTAAAACATAAAGACTAAAGCAGGGGTGCCTGGGTGGCTCAGTCAGTTGGGCGTCCGACTTTGGCTCATGACATGATCTCAGGGTCTGTGGGTTCGAGTCCCACGTCGGGCTCTGTGCTGACAGGTTGGAGCCTGGAGCCTGCTTTAGATTCTGTCTCCCTCATCTCTCTGCCCCTCCCCCACTCATGCTGTCTCTCTCTCTCTCATAAATAAATAAATTTAAAAATTAAAAAAAAAAAGACTTTAAAGTAGCTCTTGTTACAATGCTCAGGGATGCAAAGGCAAATATGCTTGTAATCATTTCAACAAAGAAAAAAAAACAATAAAAAAAATTCTGGAGTTGAAAAATAGCTGTAATAAGCACTTACTTATGTACTTCATGGCACCCTGGAAATGGCAAAATGAGTTAGGTAAACATGAAGACAGAGAGATCTGAAGAACAGAGAAAAAATAACCAGGGGTAAAAGAGAGTTCCCCGAGGCAATATCCAAAGGTCTAACACACATGTAACCTGACTCCCACGAGGAGAAAAAGAAAATGGGTTACAAATCTGAGAAAAATCTCTCAAATCTGGGATAAGACAAGCATTTACAGATTCAATAATCTAGGTTAAATGCAAAGGTTAAAATACAAGTTAAATACAAAGAAAAGCATACCTAGGCACAAATCACAAGCCAAAATGCTGAAAACTAAGAATAAAGTGAAATAGTGAAAGCAGCCAGGAAGAAAAAAAAAAAAAAAAAGACCTGTTACTGTCACAGAAACACTGAGCTGCATACTCACTTGTGCGTTTCTCACAAGAAAATAAGAAGCCCAGAAGACAGTGAAATGAAATATCTATAAATTCAGAAACTGGGGGAGAGGAACTCATGCTGTATTATCATATTTAAGTTCCTTAAATTCACTGCACTCTACAAAATCATGCAATAAAAACCACAGTTCTTATGGGGAAAAAATGCGGCTAAGAGCATAGCATTCCAAAACTCTATCAGTTAACACATTAAAAAGAGAGAGAGGGAAGAACCCAATTTAAAAAAACAAAATTCAAAAAAAAAGCTTACACATACTAAACTGATTAAAATACATAAACACAATAATAAATATAGCACCTTCCATTGAAAAAGACCTGAAGTTCACTTGGGGAAGTGGGTGGCATGGGACTGCAGCTTGTGGGTTATTGTGAAGTGGTGGAAGGAAAGTTCTTTGACCTGGCAAATCTGCAGCAGCAGATGTGGATGGGTGTGGCCTGCAACATGCAGTGAACCAACTAGCTGGCAGATGTCTGAGGAGGTGCAGGGCATATAAGAACATGCTCAAATTACATAGCAATGAGGGAGTGGCAAATTTTTCAAATACATGAAC